GTCTCTGCTGGATTACAATGGGCAGTACCAGGAGCTACTGCAAAGAGTTGCCAGCGACCTCCAGATCCCACTGGAGGAGGCCCAGGATTCTCAACACCAACTTCTGAATATTTTGCAACCTCAGGGACCAAGCAAGATGGCCCTCCTAGTTAATGAAGCCAGCCTAGAACCAGCCAGAGTGGATGGCTCACTCCAGCATCCTGTGCCCCTACTCCGAAGACAGCTAAGAGGAGATATTTCATTCACACTAAGGGAGCTGAATTTTTGTTCTCCCACCTTGCCCCCATCTCACTGGTGGTACAGGTAGCTACAGAAAGAGCTCAGTCACACTATCAAAGGACCACCCCAACAGACAAGTGCTCTAAGAGACTGGACATCCTTGGAAGAAAGGTCTTCTTCTCCGAGGCCTGCAATTTCATGTTGCTAACTACCAAGCTCAGTTAGTGATATATGATTTCAATAACTATTCCAGGCTTGCGAATTTCATAGATAAGCTTCCCACAAAGGACAGAGCCCAATTTCAGTCCTTCATAAATGGGGGAAAACTAATGGCAAAAACAGCTCTCCAGGCCATAGTGGATGTAGTGGATACAGCTGCCAGAAGTCTGGCCTCTGGCTTAGTCATGAGGAGGAATTCTTGGCTGCAATCATCAGGGTTTCCTAGGGAGGTCCAGAACACAATCTTGGACTTCCTGTTTGATGAATCAAATCTCTTCAGTCAGAGAACAGATGAATCATAGAATCGTAGGACTGGAAGGGACCTCGAGAGATCACCTAATCCAGTCCCCTGCACTTAGGGCAGGACTAAGTATTATGTAGACCATCCCTGACAGGTGTTTGTCTAATTGCATTTATGAAAGGACTCAAGTCCCTGCATTCATTAAAGGACACTCTGTTCCCTGGGAATTTACATTCCAGCCCTCAGAAGGAAACACTAGAGATAGCCTTTTAGGCCAAGGCCATCCCCTCCTCATGCAATTTATTATCATCACCTGGCAGAGGTCAGGTCGGCAACAGAGTTTCTCATAAAACTTCTGGTAGCCCTAGGTGTTTGCAAAAATAGAAAAGGGTCTGTTTTGTTGCCCACAAGGACGATAAACTTTATAGGAGCAACACTGGACTCGGTTTCAGTGAGAGCATTTCTCCCCACAGACAGGTTTCACATAATGAGCAAACTGGTTTCACGCATTACCTGCAAACCAAGAACTACAGTGCACATATGCCTTTCACTCTTAGGCCACATGCCCACACACATTTACATGACACTATTCACCAGGCTTCACTTGCGATACCTACAAGTTTGGATCCACACAATCTGTCCACCAAACAAGGACCATGTCAACTCGAGGGTGACCATTACCACTGGAGTTATTGCCCACCTCGCTTGGTGGTTGAACCCGAAAAAGGTCATGGTGGGTGTTGCCTTCAACCTGCCCACCCGCAAAGCCACCATTGTGATTGACGCGTCCCTCCTGGGGTGCGGCGTTCACCTGAATAACCACACTGCTCAGGAAACCTGGATCCCACGAGAGGCCAGGCTACGTATAAATGTAGGAGAAGTAAGGGTAGTCCATCTTGTGTGCAAGGCTTTCCTTCAGGTAATTCGCTCCTTCCATATACAGGTGATGTCAGACAATATCACCACTATGATACAAACAGGGCAGAATGAGGTCTTGTCCCCTCTGCCTGGAAACTGGCTCTCTCTGTCTCTCTATTGCATGTATGGCATCTGCAAAGCAACATTCTATAGCAGCAGTTGTAGATCCATAAGCCATTTCAAGGCCTCCTCTGTGACATGGATATCATCCAATTCACCTTTAAATCCAGATTTGGGGCACTGTGTTATGATGTGTTTGATGGTTTGGATGCTCTCACTGCAGTCACCCAAAGGTGAGTCTTTGATTTTCCACTTGTACAACAAGTAGCCACATCTTCTGTGGTTTATTCAGATGCAGTTCAGTGTGGTTCAAAGTATCTGTGGCAGATCAAAACTGGAAGGGCATCTTGTTGTGTCAGTAAAAATGTGCTTGTTTGGAATAGCAGATGAGGTCCAGACACTTCACCATTCCCTGCCTAGATCCAGAGGCATGAGATGGTCACGTGTGATCCAAAGTGGTTTTCACAGTTTCAGTCATTGTTGGGGTATGTTATCCATAACCTGCCAGATGGGAAGTTCTGGGTAGTCTGGTGTGTTTAAGTTCTCATGCTGTGGCTATATCTCAAAGGATAGCTGGGGATTCGGTGTTTGTTAATACAGAAAGCTACAGTAAAGGTGTTGATTTTAAAGTTCCCATGATGAATCGCATGGTCTAATTCAGCTGCCTGTCCACAAGTTGGGTATGGCAGCTTTTTGTCCTCATCGGCGTACGGTACTCTGCAACTGAGTACACCAGGGTCAAGGCTGATGTTTGTAGCACTGTGGCAGTTGATCCCCAGCTTGTTCCTGATAACTTTTGAAAAATGTTGATGCAAGTCTTTGCTTTGGAGGTTACTTTCTTGAGGTGGTCATGCAAGGTCAGTGTGTGGTCAAGAATGATGCCAAAATATGTTGGCTTTGGGTCTTAATGCACAGTTTCACCACAAAACTCAACAGTATGTTTTGTGCAATTCTCTTGTCAAGGTGGAAAGTAGAGACTACCAATTTGCCCATCTTAGGTCTCAGCCGCCACTTTTTGAAGTACTCCTCTGTGATCTTAAGGTCTGATGTAAGGGTCACTTCAAGTTCTTTAAAGCTATGAGCCTGAGTTGTGAGTGCCATATCATCAGCATACTCAACATTCTGCATTATCATTTCAGGTATATTGCTCACATATGCATTGAAGAGGGTCAGAGCAAGTACAGAGCCTTGTGGTAGCCCATTATTTAAAGTGTGCAGCTTGCTGGGTTTGCCTCTGAGGTATACAAACATCCTGTGGCCACTAAGCCTGGTGTTCGGTAGGCTGAGAATCTACACACAGGTTCACTTTGGCCAGTTTCAGTAGCAGACCATCCTTCTGGACTACGTCACGTGCTGCTGACAGATCAGTGAAAGCGTTACCAATTGTGAGTTTTTGTCGGAATTCAGCCTTAATGTTTGTAGTGAAAGCCAGGACCTGGTCACAGCAACTTCTGTGCGGTCGAAAACCGGCTTCCTTCTTGGGTAGGGTACTATACGCCGTGGACCCGATTTGGTTCAGAATCATATGCTTCAGCACCTTGTAGATGGTGCTCAAGAGAGACTGGCCTAGAACTAGAAGGGTGATCCACAGGTTTCCCAGACTTCAGGAGTGCAATGACCTTGGCTTCTTGCTACACGTGGGGAATTTCACTGGTCTCCGAAATGTGGGTGAAAAGTTTAATCATCCATTTCCATGCCAATGAACTCAGGTTATATAGGGACTCAGGACAGATACCATCTTTTCCTACTGCTTTTCCCAATTTCGTGGCTGCAATGACTGCATCAATCTCCTTACTTGTGAACAGTCCAGATCACTGAGATGATGGAATGCACATGGACGTCTCCTGCTGGAGTTAAACCTGGAAGCCATCAAACTTTGGAACTGGTGCATCTGGAATCACATCATGATGCAGGCCACTTACCTTCCGGGTAGCCACAGCACCAAACTGAGCAGTCACTTCTCGATGGACCACGCATGGGAGAAGCACAATTCAGTCCTAAGCGAGATATTCACGCAGTGGGCACACCACAGTGGGACTGTCGACACTCACCGATTCACCCTTCGAGCCCATGGGAACATGTTCCGTGACCTGCCTGCCTGTCCAGGAAGGTGGCATTTTTAGTAGCTATCATTTCAGCCGGGAGGGTCAGCAAGCTGTGAGCCATCATTGCGGACCCTCCTTATTACAGTTTTTCACAAAGAAAAGGTTTCCCTTCACCTACACCCTAAGTTTCTCCCCAGGGTTGTTTCTGAATTCTACATCAACCAAAGTATTTGCTTATCTGTACTTTTCCCAAAACCTCATGCTTCCACTGAAGACAAGAGGCTTCGCTGCCTCTGTGTCTGATGTGCCTTGGTGTTCTACCTGCAAAGAACGAAACCCATTAGGAAATCACCAAGACTTTTTATTGCCATTGCAGGCAGATCGCGTGGGCAAACCAGAGGATTTCTAAGTGGGTTTCAGGATGCATCCTAAAGTGCTATCGGGAAGCAAAGATCCCTCCCACTGTGGGTGTCACAGGTCATAACACGAGAGCACAGGCCACCTCCACAGCATCCCTACATGATGTCCCGCTACAAGACAATTTCAAAGCGGCCACCTGGAGTTCTGTCCACATGTTCACAATGCACTACGTTTTAGTTCATGCCTCGGCCGCTGATGCAGATCTGAGATCTGCAGTGCTGCAAGCATTTTTGCTACCAGCTTCCTCGCACCCACTTGCAGTCTGACCACTGCATGCCAGTCATCCACCTGTAAAATACACACAGGGACCAGCACTCTCAGAAGAAATGGAAGTTACTTACTGTAACTGGAGGTTCTTCAAGATGTGTGGTCCCTATCTGTATTCCACTACCCGCCCTCCCTCCCCTCTGCTTCAGATCCTGTTGGATTTGCGATAAGAGGAGGAACACCGTCAGCCTGCACTGTCTCTTATACCCTCAGTCAGGAGCACAAGAAGATGTACGGCGTGTGTGTGGGCCAATAGACACTGCTTGGAAGAATTTCCGGACTCGGGGTACTTGCCTATTCACATGTGGAGTCTCAAAGAGCCTCCACTTACCGTAAGTAACCTCCATTTTTTGCACCCACAGTTAATTGTGGGTGGCAGTCCATAGTAGCTGGGCGTTGAACGGGCCATCTGGGTCTGGCACCAGATGCTGGTTGTGATGCTAGGCTTGGAGAGAGCTGGGTGGTGCTAGGAGTTGCTGAGGCCAGAAGGCAGCACAGAGGAGGGAAGCATCCCCACACCTCATGCTCGTGGCCAAGGGGGGCACCGTGCAGAGGGAAGGGTCTGCCGGGTGGTTCTGGGCGCACTAGCCTCTCACTGTCTCCCCCGGCAGGAGAGCTTAGTGATCGACAGGCCCCGTGTCCGCAAGCAGACCAAGCACTACAACTCCTTCGAGGAGGATGAGCTGATGGAGTTCTCGGAGCTGGACAGTGACTCCGACGAGCGGCCCACGCGCTCGCGGCGCCTCAATGAGAAGACGCGGCGCTACCTGCGGGCTGAGTGCTTCCGCGTGGAGAAGAACTTGCTCATATTCGGGTGGGTCTCACCTGGGCTCTGCACACCGTGTGAGGCTGGGCTGACCCCCAGCGCAGCTGTGGCTCTCGGGTGGTTTGGTGTCGCATGTTTGCTATTGTCTGTCTGTCCCTGTCTCGGGCTGCTGCACAGAGGGGCATAAACCTGGCAGGGAGCTGCAGAGCTATTGCCCCGCCGGGGGGGACCTGCTGGGTGCTGTGCGCAACCCCCACATCTATGGGAGGAAGTGTGGTTTGTGGCTAGAGCATGGGCTGGGAGTCAGGACTCCTGGGTTCTTTTCCTGCCTCTGCCACTGACCCAGCGTGTGATGCTGGATGAATCCCACACCCTTTCTGTGCCTCAGTTTCCCTACTTCCTGCTTCTCCGGGGGCTGGCCAGGCTTTGTCCATTAGTGCCCCATGCAGCGTTGTGAGCTCCCCACTGGAGGGCACTAGAGAAGTGCAGTCTCTTGCAGTGTTTATGGTGTGTGTTTCTGCTCCTCCAGCTGGGGGCGCTGGAAGGATATCCTGACCCACGGACGGTTCAAGTGGCACCTGAACGAGAAGGACATGGAGATGATTTGCCGGGCCCTCCTGGTCTATTGCGTCAAACACTACAAGGGAGATGAGAAGATTAAGAGTTTTATATGGGATCTGATCACTCCGACGAAGGACGGCCAGAACCAGGCCCTGCAAAATCACTCAGGTACTCTCTCCCCTGCCAGTTATTGTTTCGCTGCCAGCTGCCAGTATGCCCAGCTTTCAGTGCCCAGGACTAGAGAGTTAAACTAGAGCGGATCCCAGAAGCCACACAAACAGCCAGAGCTGGGCAACAAGGAAGCACTGTGTGGGGGCCAGGGGTCACAGGGCTGACTTGCGTCCAGACCCATGGAGGCAAGGACAGAGGGGCTCTCTGATACAGGAAATGGCCAGCCCTGGCCCAGCTGAGTGGGAACCTTGGGCTGGAGAGCTAGGGCACCAGGCCAACCTGAGCTGCCTGTTCTTGAGGTCTAGATTGTTACTTAGACCAGAGACCAGGCTTGGACCATCAGGGATGGGGGGCAAATGTCCCCTGCAGAGTGCAGCCCATAGTGGCCTTTATTCTCAGAACTGTGGAGGAGTGGCCAGTGCTGGCTGCATGCTTGGACCTGTGGTCTCTGCAGGCAGCCACACTATGTCAAAGATGACTCCACTCCATTCTGTAGTAGCCATTCCCTGTGGGACGCTGCTCGTCTGTAGATCCCCCAGTGCTTCACAAAGGGCAGGGGGAATCCTCAGCTGGGGTACTGAGATCTAATGCAAATGAGGCCTGGCAAGTAACCAGTGCAGCCCCTTGGCTGGGCACTGTGTGGGTGCCCCAATCCATGGCACAATGTTCTTTAAGTTTGGCAGCCCTTTCCGGCTGGCTCCCAGCGCTGCCTTTCAGTAGTTTGTCACGGGTGAGCCATGCTGAAAGCTAAGGCAGCTGCTCCCATTTCCGCTCCACAGGGCACGCCAGAGGCTGTTTGTGAAGTGGCTGTTAGCAGTGTAAAGCGCGAGGCTCTCCCATGCGGTGCAGGAGAAAGCAGCCAGGTTCTGTGGTGGATTTGAAGTCCCAGGTCCGGTCAGAAATCCCCCCGTGCCTGGTGCTGTTGGGTTACGTTCATGGCCATCGCATCTCTCCCTAAGCGTGAATGACGCCATCGCCTACTGTTCTGAGTTAATATCGTCATTTTGTCCAGCACTTGAGCCATCTCAGCAGGATGGTCTGGCGCTGGGGAATCAGGCATGTGCTGGTTAGACCAAAGGAATCCTGGCACACACCTGGTCGCTGGGCGTAACCCGGTGTATTAGCATGCAGTAGAGCAATAGTAAAACTGATAGGGTGACACATATGGGAACACATTTCAGTAATGCAACGAGCAAGCGGCATGGTCCGTTGAGGGTCATGAACACTGCACTGCACTGTAGCACTGAATGTAACCCAGTTGGATCCCTTGCAAGAGGAAGCCTCAGAACCTCTCAGTCAGGTCCTGGGGAGGCCTCTGCTTCCATGAGTCTGGGCGTACGACAGGCAGTACAGGACTGAATTCTAGCCCAGCTGTGCACAAGCCATGCTCTGACCCTGTGCAATGGTAGCCACGGCAGGGAAAGGTCTGGAGAGCTGCTGAAGGGGAGCTGGTCCTGTCCTGAGAGGAAGAGTGTGTGAGTTGGGCCTGTCCAGGGTTAGAGGGATTCATGCGAGAAGTGAAACTGCAAGAACTGGTTGGAATAAAAACACAGGGAAATGTGGCCAGGGAACCAACGCAGGGAATAGGCTCCAAGGACGACTCCACCCCGCCTTTGTGGCATAAGGCTGGCCCTGCTGTATAGAAGAGGCGAGGACTCTGACTGGCAGGTGCCGTGGGTACAGGTCTGCTTGGATGCCATCTCATGAGGGGTGTCTGGCCCTGATGTCTGTGCTGGGTTCTGCTCTCACCTCTGTCAGGAAAAGGCTGGAGTAGCTTTGGTGGGGCTACAGTGGAGCTGAGTGTAGAGCCTGAGCAGGGTCCGCTTTGTGTGTGAGGGAAGCGCTGAGCATTGGCTGTGCGCACAGTGTGGGGAGATGTGGATGTGCAATGGCACTGCTGAGGGTGTGGGCCAGGGTGTATCAGGGAGAGCTGTGGCTGGTCTGGGCCTGCTGGTGTGCAGTGGGGAGGTGGGTTGTGTCAGGCAGAGTGCAGGTGTTGGAGCACCTGCTCCCTGTCCCAGCACACAGACCTGACCTCTTTCCACAGACCTGTGTCTGACGATGTTGACGTTCAGGCTGTCGAGGGCCTGGGCCAGCTTGCTTCAGTTCTGTGGGCAGGGTTGCCAGCCGCGGCATCCAGCAGCCTATTCTGCCAAGCCACCTCCTGCGCTCAGAACTGCCCCATGTGTTTAGACTGCTGGGAAGGTGTGGATGTGGCATGGCCTGACCTGGTCTAACTAGGGCACCATATACGCATGGCTCAGCTATGGGATTGTGCCAGGACAGACACACTGGGTATGCTGGAGACCCTGCCTACCTTTTCTCTGGCTCTCCAACTCCCACCTGAGCTGTAGTGTGAAGGTTTAAGAGCATTACAAGAGCTGGCTTTCAGTCCTTCCAGCTGCACTGCTCCTGCCAGCCAGTGTCTATGTCCTGTCTGATCCAGAGCATTTCTCACGTGCCTGTCAGGGTGGTGTGTGGCCTGCAGCAGGGCCGCTCATGCGCTCCCTCCTCACTGTTGCAGGGCTGTCGGCCCCAGTGCCCAGGGGCAGGAAGGGGAAGAAGACGAAGAACCAGATGCTGCTGCCTGAGATAAAGAACGCAGACTGGCTGGCCAGCTGCAACCCTGATATAGTCCTGCATGATGACAGCTACAAGAAGCACCTGAAACAGCACTGCAACAAGTGAGTGTGAGCCCCTGCCCCGGGGAACTGCAGCGCACCTGCCATGCTGTGTGTCCCGCCCTGGGCCCAGAGCGAGGCCACGTGCCCCCAGCTGGCATCGTGCAGCACAGAGTCTGAAGAGGAAGGACTCACCCGGGCAGTCAGTATGGAGAGGCCAGTGGGGACGTTGGGTCGGTGCCCACTGGCTCGTCAGACCTTGGGTAGTTTTTGCCATGCTGTAAAGTGCTGTTTACATGCCAGCAGCTGCAGCTCTACGGAGTTCTCGTCTCCCTGCCACTAGGTGCAGCGCACCTGCCCGCAGCTCAGCTGGCATTCAGGAAGCTTCCTTATTGTCACAGCCGTCTTCGGTCAGGGGCTTGGGGAGCAGGGCTGGTCAGATACCTGAGCACACCCTGGTAGCACCAGCATCAAAATGCCGACTTGTGCATTAGTGGTAGCCAGAGGCGGATGGCTCTTGGCACCCGGGGGGCAGAGCCTGGAGGGGGACGGATGTTGGGACCTGGGGGCAGAGAATGGAGTGGGACAGGCTCTTGGGATCCAGGAGCAGAGCCTGCAGGGGTCCGGCTCTTGGAACCCAGGGGGCGGAGCCTGGAGGGGGACAGCTCTTGGGACCCAGGGGGCAAAGCCTGGAGGGGGACGGCTCTTGGGACCCAGGGGTCAGACCCTGTGGCGGGGGTTGGCTCTTGGGACATGGGGGGAGGGGGCAGAGCCTGGAGGGGGACAGCTCTTGGGACCCAGAGGTGTGAAGCCTGGAGGAGGATGGCTCTTGGGGGCCGGGGAGGTGGAGCCTGCAGGGGGCCGGCTCTTGGGGGCCGGGGGTTGGACCCTGGAGGGGGACGATTCTTGGGACCCAGGAGTGCAGAGCCTGTAGTGGGATGGCTCTTGGGACCAGAGGGGCGGAGTCTGGAGGGGGATTGCTCTTGGGACCTGAGGGGCGGAGCCTGGAAGGGGACAGCCCTTGGGATCCAGGGGGTGGAGCCTGGAGGGGGACGGGTCTTGGGACCTGGGGAGTGGGGGGGGCAGAGCCTGGAGGGAGACGGCTCTTGGGGCCCTGTAGGGTGGTGGGCAGCTCTTGGGTCCTGGAGAGTGCGGCCCAGCAGGTACAGCTCTTTGCAGAGGAGAACAGAGAGACATTATTTTAACAAATCAGTAACCCAGAGCTGTTTCCTCACCCACTCAGAGGATGCTGCATCCCAGCTCCCAGCAAGAGCTCTCCTAGCCATGAGCACTGTAAGTAGCGCAGCCCCCTCCCTCACTGGGTTAGGAGTGAGGTGTGTTGCTGCCATTGCTGGGGAGGCGGGTACCCAGCCTGGCACCTTCCCTCTCCTAGTGAGCTCTCAGCCTGGCACCTCCCCTCTCCTGGTGAGCTCCTTCATGAGTGTTTTACGCCTGCTTGATTACAGGGTTAGTGAGGTGAGATCTCTGAGGCCCAGGTGGTGGGGATCAGGCCCACAGCCCACTGAGCTGATTAAGGAGCCTGTTCACTGCCAGCCTGAACCTTTTTCCCCTGTGGAGGGGGCCTGCCCTCTAGTCTCCACGTTCCAGCTGCTTCAGGCCTCCCCTCTTGAGCCCCAGTGGCTAGGTGTCCTGCCGTGTCACAGTGCGAGGGGCAGCTAAGGACAGGCGAAGCTGCTGCCATGCCTGCGCTCAGCCTTGGGTGGTGTTGTCATGAGAAGGGGAGTGGCTTCCCACCATTTCGTCCTCGTGTATAACCGCACGGACTGCAGGCCTGGGCAGCGATCCCCCATTGCCCCATGCTGCCATACAGACCAGCTGGCCCATAAACGCTGTGTCGCTGTGCGTAGGGGCTGTGCCATGCTGGATCCCAGCCCCATGCTCGGTCTGTATTGACATGCCGCTTTCCCTTGGCAGGGTGCTGCTGCGGGTGCGAATGCTCTACTACCTGAAAGCTGAAGTGCTGGGAGAGGTGGCTGACAAAGCCTTCGAAGGGACCCCGGCCAGGTATGATGCTCCCAGCAGCCCGGATCACTTTGCATGCCCAGCTGTGGAGGTATAGCGACCGATATCTTTGGCTGCAGCGCCCCTGCTGCATGGGGAGCCCCCTGCCTACTCTGGGCTGGCATGGGGGAGCTTCGTGCCAGCATGAGAGGGGTCAGTCACCTCACAGTATCTGAAGCCAAATCCTGCCGTTCTCACTCAGGCAAAACTCCTGTCGCCGTTGGTGGAAGCTCTGCCTGAGTAGAGACTGCAGGATTGGGCCCTAGAGGCTGGCCCCAGCAGAAGGCAGACACGGGCAGAGTTTTTTCTCCTGTGGCTTAGAGAGCTCCCTCTGCAGCAGAGCTGAGCAGGGACAGCGGGCTCCTTTGGCCAGGGGACAGGACCACTGCTCCTGTGAAATAGCACCACTGGGAATCACGCTGAGCTACATGCATACACACGTACACATGGGTGTGCATGCCGAGGCACATGCAGACTTCCCCCCCCATCCTCCTACACTCATGCACTCCCCAGCCAGTCCCAGCGTGCTGGGAATCAGGATTCCCTACAGTGCAGCCCAACAAATTCACCTCTAATATGAAGCTGTAGCCCCTAGTCAGTCCTGACCTAGCCTTGACATCCAAGCCAGGTGGCTCAGACCGGAGTGGAGCATTGCCTGCTGGGACCTGCATTCCCTCCCTCTGCTCTGCAGGGAGCATGGGGGACTGAAATGGCTGCAGCCCTCTGTCTCCTGAAGTCCCCAAAGGGATGCTGGGTTGGGCAAAGCCTGGTAATTGCCCTGGTGTCTCATAACGAGCAGTGGCAGAGGGAGCCTGCTGCCGAAGGTAGAGGAGAGCAAGGTTTGCTGAGCTCACTGAGCCTGATCCTTTATTGAAAGCCTCCGCTTTCCTGTCTCAGCAGAGGCTGCTGCTTTCCCAGGGTGCTCCTGTGCCCAGCACAGATGCAGTCAGTCTGTGTCCCAGCAGCTCACTGAAGGGAAGCCAGGGAGGGTGCTGCCTGCCTCTCTGAAGGCTCGGTGCACTCCAGCAGATAGCTGCTTTGCCTTGCTCTTGCTCTGTTGGTGGCTGGTAGCTTTAGTGAAAACTTTCCCCAGCCTTAAGGCAAACGCCACTCTAGTGAGTCCCGGGAGCTCATGGGCCAGCCAGGCTGAGTAGGATGGGTGGAGGTCAGGCCTGGCCACCATCCCTGTCTCACAGGAGGTGACACTGGTGTGTGCAGGGGAGGCTGACAGCAGGACTCAGCTAGCCTAGTACCAGGCTCGATTGTTACCATGGCTGGTCCTCTTGGCATTCGGGGAGCTCGCACACACCGGAATGCAGGACCTGACCCCAGTGTTTCTGGAGAGGCAATCATCAGAGCGCTATTAAGGCAGAAGGCCTGTCCCTAGTTGCCCCAGCATCGTGGGACCCCTGAGCCCACTCAGCTGTCTGTAGAAGTGGGAGTTCTCGGGGAGTCCAGAGCAGGGTGAATTCATGGCCTGTCCCTCTCAGGGAGCTGGACGTGCTGTTGCCGGATATCGACTATGTGGAGATCCCAGTGGACTGGTGGAATGCAGAGGCTGATAAATCGCTGCTTATTGGAGTTTTCAAACACGGTATTGTCCCTGTCAAGTGCTGAGCCCTGCCCCGGTTTGCTGGGGTACTCCCACTGCCTGAGCCAGGAGCCAGGAGTGGCTGCTGAGTTCAGAGCACCATGCCGATGTTCCCTCCCCGGGGCGGAGGTAGTGGAATGTCGCACCCGGGGACCCAACGCATCCTGGGTGCTCCAGCGAGGAGCCCCAAGAAGCCGCTTGTTTTTGCTGCCATGACCTGGCAGTGCTGAGCGCTCGTGTCCTGCACATCCCCTCCAGGCCAGCTTACCTGGGGACCCGGCTGAACCAAAGCACCTGGGGCTGTAGCTCCATCAGCTCTCCCAAGTTGCGGGGAGTTGGGCCTTGCCCCATGTCACTCAGTGGAGATACTCCAACACCTGTGTTGGCCCTGACGCAGTGGGCAGCATGGGGCTAGCAGACGCTGGGATGCTGCAGAGCTTGGCCACATCAAACCAAGCGCCTGACTCAGGGACTGAGGGGGAGCGTCCACATTCCTGGCCTAATTCTATCTCCGCTCAATACATTCTGCCTCTTGAAACTCCTCTTGCAATTTCTACTGGAGACAGGAGTCTGCACTGTCTGCCCTAAACTGTTACCCTGGTGCTGCGTTCCATCCCAGAAGTGGCTACATCTCTGGGGCGGACAGGTTGACTCCTGTGTCTCTGTCTCCCACACAGAAGGGCTGTGGATTAATCAGCAGCCATTTGTGAAAGGCTTTGGATGCTTTGGGTGAAACTTGCTATTGAGGGACCAGGTTATCTGTGGGCCAGATGGCAAGGTCCTCACTCTGGAGTCAGGCGCACTCAGGCAGGCCCCACTGGCACAGCCAGAGTTTAGCCAAAGCCAGTCACAGGTGGCCTGGCCCCTGGCTAGGACATTATCCCGTTTAATGTCAGCTGTGGTGTTGCCAGGTTATGAGAGGTACAACGCCATGCGAGCAGACCCGGCACTATGCTTCCTGGAGAAGGTGGGCATGCCAGACGAGAAGCTGCTGTCTGCGGAGCAGGGCGTCAATGATGGGGCACAGGATGCTGCAGAAAGGTGGACGGGGGCAGGAGGAGGGAGGGAGGGCTCTGGCTGGCTCCTGGGGGCAGAAGAAGCAGGACAAGCGTCATGCTGTTCTGTGGGGGTGGGCATCAGAACAGAGTGAGAGCGGAGAGGAGGAGGGTAAGCTGGCAGCCCAGCAGGGTGCCTGTGACCCAGGGCGACAGGGGAATGCCAGTGTCTGCTGGGCATGACTGTGTATGATGGTGGGAGAGGGCAGGCAGGGTGCCAGGGTTGTGGGAACTGCTCCCCTGGGTTAATTCCCTCAATGGGCCAGGGAGGTGTATGCGCCACTCACACTCACCTAGGCGCAGGTTCTCCACCCAGCCAGGGGCACTGACACATGCAAACCCCTTAGAAGCTGTGCTGTGCTTTGGGGAGCAGCTCATTGGCTGGGGGTGTGAGGGGCTGATCAGAGAGTTCACAGCCCCCGATTGCAGGAAATGGGGAAAGAAGGGCTGGCTGGCTGGCTGGCGTGCTGCAGCAGGTGGGTGAGGGGCGGTGTGTGTCACCAGAGAATCCCAGAGCTGACCTGGAGCCGGGACTGGTACTGGGTTCTTTGCCAGCTTTGCAAACATAAAGGTTGAGAATGTCCTGAATGTGAGTTACCTCCTGCAGGCGGAGATCAGGGAGCAGGTCCAGGCTTGGGCAGATGATGAAAGGGCAGCCAGCAAGGGTGCCCAGGCAGTGTGAAAATGCGGGAGCCGGCTCTCACCCTGCAGGCACTGGGACATTGCTGGGGTGGGCAAAGGCGAAGCGGAGCTGCCAGGGCTAATGCTCTGTCGGGTTGTTTTGTCTAGAGGAAACGTTGAGAAAGAAGAGAACAGTGGAGACAGAATCGAGGGGCTGCCACAGCAGGAGGTGAGTGGGGCTCCCCACAGCCGGAAACAGCTCCCCAGCCCCAGCCAGGCCTGCCCCCTGCTGGCTCAGGAGACACTTGTGTTCTGCCGTGGCTAGGGAAAGAACAGTGGGCTAGACCCCTCCTTTTCCCCTGGCTGAGCCAGTTTGCTGTTAGTCGGGCTCAGTAGGGACAGCTGTCAGGAGGGTGCCTCGTGCCCAGGCTGTCTGTGACTGCTCCCAGGAGCACATGGCTGCTGGGATGGAGAGTGTGAGTGGGTGACATTGCTGCATGGGATGGTCACTATCCTTCCAAAGTCATATCCCCCCGTCCCCCACAGGAGCTTTGGTATTGGTCTCTAGTCAGCTGATTCCTGGATGTGCCCAGGCTGGCCAGTCAGCAGAGATCTCACCATCTCGCTGCCAAGCAGAGCCCTGCCCTGTTTGGCTGAGGACTGTTACCATAAATGCCAGGACTGGCTCTTCCCGTGGGGCTGGGCTAGGACCAGCCCCAAGCAGGAGCCTGATGATCAGTAGGATCTCAGAGTGGTTGGGCACCTCCTCCACCACTCTCAGCCTGCAGTACCTCCAGGAGGGCCAACATGCTGGGTGCCAGGGCAGCCTGCCCACGCCCCCTTTCCTCAGGCTGGCACCTAGTTCAGCCCAGGGCAGCCTAACCCCCCCAGCCCAACCTTCCTCCCCCAGCCTGTCGTCTAGCCCAGCTCAGGGCTGCCCGGCCCTGTGGCCTAAGGAACCCCAGCCCGGCATCTAGCTCAGTCCCCTGCCCCACACCTGGTGCTTATCCTGGCCCAGGGCAGTCCAGTTCCCCCAGCCCAAGGCAGCCCTGCCCCCCACCTAGCATCCAGGGGGGGATAGCAGAGGCACTGAGGGGAGGGTGCAGAGTGGGAGATGAGGCAGGGCTCAGCAGGGAAGGATTTAGAAGGAGCAAGTCTGGAGCTGCAGGATAGAGAGTGCAGTGATGGGGCCAGGCCCAGCCAGCAGTGAAGAGGGGCCAGCACCATTAGCCCCACCCTGCGCTGTCTGGGTTCATCCTGACGGGGAGGGCAGCACAAACCCTCTGCTCAGCTGCTGATCCCGACAGCTGGGATCCCCACTCACCATCCTTAGGCTGGCAGAGGGAAGGGCCCCAGCAGAGCCCCACCCCTGCCATGTGCTGCCCCTGCAAATCACTCAGCCCTGAGCAGCAGCTGCTTCTCATCTGAGAGCCGGGGGGGGCTGAGGAAAGGCATTTGCTTCACTCCCTTTCCAGCAGCCTCTGTGCCTGCGGGGAACTGACAAGTTCTCTGTCCAGGCGCCTTCCCGGGACAGCAGGCTGAGCTGCGCAGGGAGAACAGGCGGCTTCTGAAGCCCAGCAGATGCAGCAGCAATGCACACGCCACTTGTTTGACTTGGCTCCACAGAGGCTGCGGCTTATGGCACGTTGAGACGCTTCCTCTTAAAAGGACCTGGGGCAGCAGCCCTCCACTCTCCCCACTATCTGCATTAGCCGTGCTGTGCTCTCCCTCTGTAGCTTTAGATCCATGCTCCTGGGTCTGCCTTTCTCCAGGTAACTCCACCGCCTGCGCCCCAACTCCCTGGGAAATGGGACGCATGCCTAGTGGGATTGTCCAGAATTCCCGCATAGGACCCTTCCCACAGCCCCTTTTCCCTGTCCCGTGCAGGCTGGTCATAAAAGGCCCGAGCGATGTCACTGCCCCCTACCCTGGTTGATAATCCCCCTGCCTGGTACAACTTACACCCAGCCAGCTTTCCCTGAGACCTCCTCTACGCTTCCGAGCTACCCCCTTGTACCACTTGGGCTGCACCACTCCCAGCTGTGGCCCACTGCTGTTGCCTTCAGCATCACTGAGCCAGGCAGGAGTGAGCCGTCCGTCTCTCCAGGAAACAGCCCTTGCAGGCTCTGAGCATGTTCATTGCTCACATCTGAGCCCCCAGTTTGCACCTGTTGCCCTGGCGTTGAGGTGCCCAGAATGGAGCGTGGGATTACCAGGGCCCCTAGAGATGGCTCTCCCCTTGCCCGTGGGGTGGTGCTTGCTCTTTCTCTAGAAGGCCCTTGCCTGGCTAGAGCGGGTCCAGCTCCAGCAGGGGTAGCCTGCAGACAGTCAGTGTGACAGAGTTTGAGCCATCCTGCTGGTCAGGGCCTGGCCAGACAACCCTGGATAACACGCCTCGCTGTCCCACTATTGCTTCCTCCTCTGCTGCCTCCAGGAGAGCTCAGCCATGGGCTAGTGTCCCTTCTGGCTTGTTTTCCCTACTCCTGCCTCCACCCCAGCGAGTCCCAAACCACCTTCCCTGCACCATGAATCCATCCATCTGCAGGATCTGCCTTCTTCCAGAGGGCTCTGAGACAGCACCTAAGTCACCCTGGCTCTATGCCTCTTCCCAGGCCTGTAGGAACATGTGATCCTGTCAGACCCTTCGTAGGTGCCAAGAGTTCTGTGGGCTGTCCCCCACCTTGGTGCAGGGTTGCTGGGCCCCAGAGCAAGGTGCAGGCCCAGCAGAGTGTCCTGGGCCTGGCTCTGCCCTCTCTGTGCTGGCAGGGGCTAGGGCCACACCTTCTCTTTCCAGTGGCTCCCTGGGAGCACTGGGCCCTTCAGCAACAGCTGAGCTCTGCACTCTTCTGGGCTGCTCTCCACCTAGGGCAGAGCACATGTTGCGGGGTCAGTGATTCTCCCCAACCAGTGAGTCCTCTGTAATGCCCCAGAGCGACGCAAGAGCGTTAACGTTTGTGCGGCCTTCCCAGGCTGGGGCCAGCATGGGGGAGCGTCTGGGCTGTGACGTGAGAGCGGCTCCCTCCAGTCAGAGGGTGAGGAGCTCCCATTGCTTGACAGGGGCTGCCTGCAAACCCTGCAGCCAGTGAGACACTGCCCGTGCTGAGAGATAGGTGGGAGATGAGCACGGACAGTGCCAGGCCCACCACACTCAGAGATCGGCCAGCAGGTGGGATGCAGGCATTGGAAGCGGATGGGCGTGTGTGGCTGCTTAGATCTTTTCGATACCTGCTCCTGACCGGCCAGGTGGGCAAATGCTCTCCTCTCAGGGTGGATTTTGATGGCCCGAGTCTTACTTTTTCTGCAGGACTCTGGGAATTTGTGTGGAGAAGCTGCTGAGAAGCAGGATGACAATGTGGCAGGTGAGGCTGTGCCTTCTGGATGGCTTGCTCTGTGCGTGTGGCACCTCGTGCGGGGGGCCTTGCCCATAGCTGAGGTTGCTAGGCGCTGCAGTAACAGAAGGCAGCGCTATGCAAGGCATCTGTGTGCTAATGTGAAACTGTCCAACAGTGACAGCGTGTTCTTAAACAGCTGGCAGGTCCCTCTCTGGGGCGCAGGGGACAGCTGTGGAGCCCTGGGTAACAACAGTGGGCAGTTGAGCTGTGCCTTCTGGAAGCACTGATCAAACCCAGCCCCAGGAAAGGAATTGTCCCCTGTTATAGAAGGCAGCAAGCAGGGCCCACAGTGGGGGAGCGGAAACTGGAGCATGAGCATCTTGTCTCCCATTTCCAGATCACCCACCCAACCGTGCTGCCTGGACTCAAACTGGAATTAGCTCCCATATGAAATGAGTCTGATCCCAGTAAAATCTGACCAAAATTGAGACCAAAATGTGCCCCTTGTCCCTTCCCCCAAATGCAAACCTCCTGTTGTGCCCAAGGGGCTGCCCCATAGCTCAGCTCAGGCATAGCTGATCTGAGGCAGATGTGTGCATGGCACAGGTACTCGCCGCCTGGGAGAGGCAGCCAGCAGACACTGGGGGTCACAGTGCTGGGAGATGGAGCCTTTCCCCTCCGGGACCAGTCAAACCCAGCCTGGCAGTGCCTGCAAGGCAGGAATGGGGCCCAGCTGTTCAATGGCCTGTGTGAAATGAGTAAGGTGTGGCTCAGTCAAATACCTGGTGGACAGGTCCTGCAGCCAGTGCAAGCAGCCCCCTTGCAGAATAGAGACAGGCCATATGAGCCATTAGCCACGCCGCCCTCTCGCATGAGAGCTGGGCACGCTCCAGGGTGACGTGGAGCTGTCTCTTGTTCCAACCCCTTTCCCCAAAACTAGGCTCAGTCTGAAAGGAGCACAAGCCAAGCTGAGCTGTGATGCAGGGGTCCAGAAGGAAGGGCTCATGGATGGTCATCCAGCCAGCCCCTGGCGCCCTCTCCTGCTGCCCTGGGGAATGGAGGCAGCAGTGGCCTGGCCCTGATCCTCTGGCCCCTCTGTGTGAGGGGTAGGGAGCTGTTTAATGAGGATTTCCCCCCCCACCTGCCTCTGGCTGTGTGTGTTAAATATTAATGTCCTTGCTGATGTTTGAAGCCCAGGATGGCTCCGACTCAGAAAGATCCTGCTGGCCTGTCTCGTCCGCCCTCACAGCCAGACTGCGGCGGCTCGTCACCGTTTACCAGCGTTGCAACCGCAAGGAGCTGCCCCCCCGAGCCGAGATGCTTGTGCCCAGTAACCATGGCTACTGGCTGCAAGAGGAGATGTTCAGGAGAGCTGCTGAGTTGGACCCGGTGAACAAGGAAATGCAGAAAAGGTAACAGAAAGGACTGGCCAACAGAGCAGCTGAGCAGGACCTTTCTGGGAGTCACTGGCCCCTGCGTTTACCCAGTGAAACCCCCAAGAACAGCCTCTGTCTTCCAAGGCGGCCGAGACAAGCTGGCTCAACATCTTCTCTCAGGCACACGCACTGCCCCTGTGGCCAGAAAGTGCCTGCACTCCCCACAACCAGGAATCAGGTGCCTGGAGTAACACCCGCCAAGCAGGTCCCCGTGGCGGAAAACGCCTGCACTCTCCCACCCGGAAATCAAGTGCCTGGGGTAACACCTGCAGGGCAGGTCACAGACCCCCAGGCAGGCACCAGCATGGGCCAAGACTGGATCTCATTCCATGTAGGCTGGACCAAGACTCAGCCTCCTTCAGGAGCTGTTCCAGCTAACAGCTGTTTGAAAGGAGGAATGAGGGGGACTTCTGGTGGCCTGGGTCACACTGCTGTGCCAGACTGGGCCATCTAGTCTGGCTTTCTGCCTCCTACAGGGGCTACTGCCCTGTGCTGCCAGGACACACTCTAGCCCCAGCTTGGGCCATGCCATGTGTGAGGAGGGGCTGGGGATCCTTCCTGCCCCTCCACCTGGACCCAGAAGCATAAGGTTGGATTATCATCCTCACAGCCTGAGCCTGTGTTCCTAGTGTGCCCAATGCCCAGAAGTTACCCACTGCTTTTGAAATCCAGCCACATTGTCTGCTCTCTGTGGCACTGGCTGGCACAGCAGGAGGCACAGGGTCACTGGGTAGAGGAGCATTTCCTTGCACTGGCTCTAAGTATGCTGTTGTTTAATTTCATCAGGCAAGCCTCTTGTTCCCCTATGACAGGAAAGCAGAGACTGGGGCACAGTGACAAACCATCATGCAGTAAAATTAAATGCCCCAATCAAATGCCTTTGCTCTCGTGCTGCTCAGACAGAAACCTGGGTGAAATTGCAAACCCTTGAACGGGGCTGGAGTGCAGCGGGATAGCACTCACCCAAACTCCAGCCCTTCGTCTGACAGAGGGCTGCTGTCATTCTCAGCAAGGCAGTGCTGCCCTTGCAAACATGTGCCCATCCTTGAGACTTCCTTGTGGACAGGCTGATCAGGATTTCTCCCTGCAGGGCCTTCTACCCTTCCTTCTGTATCTCCTGCCAGGGAGACTGAGCCTAAGTGGAGTTTAATAAGACCCACTTGGTCTAGCTCCAAGGATGAGTCAGGAGAAGAGCTCTGCACCTGCAGGTGCTACAGCCTGATACCCAGTTGTACAGTATGTCTAAGAAGTTGCTGATTGGGAAGTTCTTTGGAAAGCTTTGCAGATCAGGAGAGCTCTACTGAACTCTTCATCCAGCTGTCTATACCTGACAACTACAGACTGTATGGCTGTCCGGGACTGGGGCTGGCTGCTCTACATCACTGGGGTGAGCATGTCCCAGACTAAGCCACTACCTCTGGTGGTGCTGCAGCCTGAGTCAATCCAGTTCCTGTTGGCCAAGTGTACACAGCACAAAAGCCGCTATTGCCACAATGGTACCAAGTGGGCCCCTTATTCATGTTTGAGCCAAGGGGGCAACAACTGGCTGGCTCCGAGGAAGTCCCTGAGGCCATTGTAGGGAAGTGTGTGTGGAGCCTGTTCTTGGGGGTGGGAGAGCACTCTGTTCCCCAGGGCTCTCCAGCTAGTGCCTCTCACTGGCACCAGACACAGTGGGAAAGCACAAGACTATAAAGAAATGTTTCTCATGAATGTGCGTGTTTCTCCCTGCCCTGCAGATGGACGAGAAGGGAGCAGGCAGATTTCTACCGCACTGTCTCCTCCTTCGGGGTCATCTATGACCAGGAGAGGAAGGCCTTTGATTGGACCCAGTTCCGAGCCATTTCCCGCTTGGAGAAGAAGACAGACGAGAGCCTGGAGAAATACTTCTACAGCTTTGTGGCCATGTGCAGGAATGTCTGCCGTCTCCCCCTGTGGAAAGAGGACGGTGAGTGGAGAGGACGCTGCCAGCATGTGGGGCAGTGGTGGGGAGGCCCTCTTGGACCAGGAATGCCCTGGGAAGGGCTGGAGCTTGCACCTTGTCAGGGAGAAAGGAAAGTGGGGGCGACTGGAATTCTAGTGACCTGCCCATCTCTTTGCTGATTGGCTGCCTGTTATGTGACCCTTCACACCTGATCAAGCAGGAGGCTCTTTCCAGTGCCATAGGCTCTGGCTGGAGACCTTCCCTTCTTGATAGCCTGGACGGAGCTTGCACAGTGCTTACCTCACCATGGCCACCATGTCCCTGGCATTTCGCCAGCCCACCCTGGACACTCCGGAAAAAGAAGTAAGGATAAAATGAGTCCTGACCTGAGATGGGAACCTCCAGCAACAGTGGAGGGAACCAAACAGCCCCAAGCAGATGTCCTCAAAACTGAACATGCCCACTGTCTGATACAGGTACCCTGCCCTGCTCATAGTGTAGCTGTGTAGCCCACCTTCCCTTCCTGTCACTCGTGCTGATACAGGCCAAGTGAAATCCAGAGCACTGCCATATCTCAGTCACTGCAGGATTTCCTGTTAGAGATGAGTTATCACAGGATGAGCCATCCTGGAAGTCTACAGCAGGCTTAGGGAGGTCGTGGCCAGCTAACACACACGGCATCAGCCCTCTGGATGTTCCCTGTGTTGCCAGACTACCCACCACATGGCACTGAAAAATCAGAGATAGAAAAACCACCCACAGGGGATTATTGAACATATAATGATTTGCTTTCAAGAATAGCAGCAGCAGTCTCATCCCCGAGCAGTTCCTGGAGTGCCCACCTCCAGCACAATTCCTCGCAGTCATTGATCCTCAGGAAATGCCCTGTGTAAACTGATGTGTCAGCAGGAGTGTTGTAAGCAAGACACAAGAAGTAATTCTTCCTCTCTACTCCATGCTGGTAAGGCCTCACCTAGAGCACTGAGGGTATGTCTTCACTTCCTGATCCAGCGGGGATCGATTTATCATGTCTAGTCTAGACATGATAAATCGACCCCCAAGCACTCTCCCGTCAACTCCTGTACTCCAGCGCCACGAGAGGCACAGGCAGAGTCGACGGGGGAGCGGCAGCAGTCGACTTACCGCGGTGAAGACACCACGGTGAGTAGGTCTAAGTACGTCGACTTCAGCTATGTTATTCATGTAGCTGAAGTTGTGTAACTTAGATCGGTCCCCCCGCCCCCAGTGTAGACCAGGGCTGAATCCAGTTCTGGGCACCACACTTTGGGAAAGATGTGGACAAATTGGAGAAGGTCCAGAGAAGAGCAACAAAAATGATTAAAGGTCTAAAAAACATGACCTCTGAGGAAAGATTGAAAAAGTTGGGTTTGTTTTGTCTGGAGAAGAGAAGACTGAGTGGGGAGATGAGAACAGTCTCCAATTATGTAAAAGGTTGTTTTAAAGAGGAGGGTGATAAATTGTTCTCCTTATCCACTGAGGACAGGACAAGAGGCAGTGGGCTTAAATTTCAGCAAGGGAGATTTAGGTTAGAAAAACTTCCTAACTGTCAGGGTAGTTAAGCACTGGAACAAATTGCCCAGGGAGGTTGTGGAATCTCTGTCACTGGAGGTTTTTAAGAACAGGCTAGACAAACCCCTGTAGGTGATGGTAAGGGACTGGACTCTTGAGGTCCTTCCAGTCCTACATTTCTATGATTCTGTGCGTGGTGGGATCCCTGTTCAGAAGGAACGGCTAGATCGTCGGGCTCAACAGGTAGTGATCAATGACTCCATGTCTAGTTGGCAGCCGGTATCAAGCAGAGTGCCCCAAGGGTCGGTCCAGGGGCCGGTTTTGTTCAATAACTTCATTAATGATTTGGAGGATGGCGTGGACTGCACCCTCGGCAAGTTTGCAGATGACACTAAACTGGGAGGACTGGTAGATATGCTGGAGGGTAGGGATAGGATACAGAGGGACCTAGACAAATTAGAGGATTGGGCCAAAAGAAATCTGATGAGGTTCAACAAAGACAAGTGCAGAGTCCTGATCAACATGCGGAAATAGTTTTATTTTGTGTAATGACCCATCCAGTGCCAGTCTTTATTCAAGCCTAAATTAATTGTATCCAGTTTGCAAATTAATTCCAATTCAGCAATCTCTCCTTGGAGTCTATTTTTGAAGTTTTTTTGTTGAAGAATTGCCACTTTTAGATCTAAAGAAAAGGAGTACTTGTGGCACCTTAGAGACTAACCAATTTATTTGAGCATGAGCTTTCGTGAGCTACAGCTCACTTCATCGGATGCATACCGTGGAAACTGCAGAAGACATTATATACACACAGAGACCATGAAACAATACCTCCTCCCGCCCCACTGTCCTGCTGGTAATAGCTTATCTAAAGTGATCATCAAGTTGGGCCAGAGGAGGTATTGTTTCATGGTCTCTGTGTGTATATAATGTCTTCTGCAGTTTCCACGGTATGCATCCGATGAAGTGAGCTGTAGCTCACGAAAGCTCATGCTCAAATAAATTGGTTAGTCTCTAAGGTGCCACAAGTACTCCTTTTCTTTTTGCGAATACAGACTAACACGGCTGTTACTCTGAAACCTGTCACTTTTAGGTCTGTAATCGAGTGACCAAAGAGATTGAAGTGTTCTCCGACTGGTTTTTGAATGTTATAATTCTTGACATCTGATTTGTGTCCATTGATTTTTTTACGTAGAGACTGTCCAGTTTGGCCAATGTACATGGCAGAGGGGCATTGCTGGCACATGATGGTATATATCACATTGGTAGATGTGCAGGTGAACGAGCCTCTGATAGTGTGGCTGATGTGATTAGGCCCTATGGTGGTGTCCCCTGAATAGATATGTGGACACAGTTGGCAACGGGCTTTGTTGCAAGGATAGGTTCCTGGGTTAGTGGTTCTGTTGTGTGGTGTGCAGTTGCTGGTGAGTATTTGCTTCAGGTTGGGGGGCTGTCTGTAAGCAAGGACAGATCACTCTCACAGATCTTGGGAGACTGGCGAGTCCTTGCTTACAGACAGCCCCCCAACCTGAAGCAAATACTCACTAGCAACCACACAACAGAACCACTAACCTATCCTTGCAACAAAGCCCGTTGCCAACTGTGTCCACATATCTATTCAGGGGACACCACCATAGGGCCTAATCACATCAGCCACACTATCAGAGGCTCGTTCACCTGCGCATCTACCAATGTGATATATGCCATCATGTGCCAGCAATGCCCCTCTGCCATGTACATTGGCCAAACTGGACAGTCTCTACGTAAAAAAATCAATGGATACAAATCAGATGTCAAGAATTATAACATTCAAAAACCAGTTGGAGAACACTTCAATCTCTTTGGTCACTCGATTACAGACCTAAAAGTGGCAATTCTTCAACAAAAAAAACTTCAAAAACAGACTCCAAGGAGAGACTGCTGAGTTGGAATTAATTTGCAAACTGGATACAATTAATTTAGGCTTGAATAAAGACTGGCAGTGGATGGATCATTACACAAAGTAAAACTATTTCCCCATGTTTATTCCCCTCCCCCCCGCTGTTCCTCAGGCGTTTTTGTTAACTGCTCGAAATGGCCCACCTTGATTATCACTACAAAAGGTTCCTCTCTCCCCTTCCCCCCCACCCCCCCATAGCTCACCTTACCTGATTACTCTTGTTACAGTGTGTATGGTAACACCCATTGTTTCATGTTCTCTGTGTATATAAATCTCCCCACTGTATTTTCCACTGAATGCATCTGATGAAGTGAGCTGTAGCTCACGAAAGCTTATGCTCAAATAAATTTGTTAGTCTCTAAGGTGCCACAAGTCCTCCTTTTCTTTTTTCATAGAATCATAGAATATCAGGGTTGGAAGGGACCTCAGGAGGTCATCTAGTCCAACCCCCTGCTCAAAGCAGGACCAATCCTCTATTTTTGTCCCAGATCCCTAAATGGCCCCCTCAAGGATTGAACTCACAACCTGGGTTTAGCAGGCTAATGCTCAAACCACTGAGCTATCCCTCCCCCACCCAGAGTTGATGGGAGGGCTCTGAAATATCCGCAGGTGAATTACTACCCTTGGAGCAGTTGATGAAGGTGAGAAACTCTTCTTCATTCTGGCTGGTTAGAGAGGAAATTTAGAAACCAAACCCTGGCCAGTTTAGTTACATGTGATTCCAGGGTCAATACCCACGAATCAGGAACTTTATGTTGTCCCCTTCTCCTCTCCAAATGACTCTTGAACTATGGAGACACAAACTAGACAAACAGCCCCACCAATCCCTAACTTGCTGCTTCTCCATGGTGCAATTTGCAGCAGAGATCACACTGACTGGTAACCACTAGATGGCGGTGATAAATTTCCCAAGCTGCTGTTGCTGTCACCCCTGACAGTTCTTCTCACACCTGTGAACCTCAGCCAAACGGTAACCCCCAGTGTACAGCATAGTAGCAAGGTTTGTCTGTATATCCTTCTGTGCTCTGTCTAATGAGGTCTCTGCCTCTTTCTTCCCGAAAGCAGGTCCACCTGATCCCAGCATCTACGTTGAGCCAATCACAGAGGAGCGTGCTGCAAGAACGCTGTACCGGATTGAACTTCTAAGGAAGGTCCGGGAGCAAGTGCTCAAGTACCCGCAGCTCCATGAGCGGCTCACGCTGTGCAGGCCCAGCCTGTACCTTCCTGTCTGGTGGGAGTGTGGCAAGCATGACCGGGACCTGCTGCTTGGAACAGCCAAGCATGGACTGAACCGCACTGACTACTACATCATGAACGATCCTGAGCTGTCATTTTTGGACGCATATAGAAACTATGCTCAGCACAAAAGAGCAGGTGCCCAAGGCCCAGAAAACCTGTGCTGCCTCCATCAGATGAACTCCAAACTCTATGGCTCCCCTTCATACTGCCAGATGGAAAGGACCTGTGAGTCCCTGGAGAACGAAGCTGAGAGCCAGATCAAGCTCGAAAACCTGGAGGATGCGCTCTCCCGAGCAGAGGGCAGCCCCCAGGACATGAGCTGCGACACGTTCCTGTCGACAGTGCGGGACATCATTTCCATGAACTGTGATGAGAGCTCCTTGCCGGACTCTCTGATGTGCATGATGTATGAGGAGAAGGCGTGCCCCAGTGAGCACAGCTCTCTCGCCCATGACAGCCCCAGCTGTACACATGTCAGCAACAGTGCTGCCAAATTTGCTGAGGGCAAACTAGATGGGGATGAGGACCCTTCCAGCTGTGAGGCTGAGGCCATCAGAGAGACCTCCTTCCTGGAGAGCTTGCAGATGGGCTGTGACCAAATGGATAGTCCCAATGAAGGTGGGGAGCCTTGGCCCTCAGCCCCAGCCAGCCAGCCCTCCAGGAGTGTCTCCACCGAGATCAGTGATGCTTTGCAGCGGGCCAATCCAGGGCCTGGGTCACCTGTGCTCGCCAGTACGGAGGGGGTGATCAGCCTAGGCCTGTATGGGCCCAGTCTCCATAACTTGGAGATAAAGATCCCACCGGAGCAGAGGTTCATGGGCCTGTTACACAAGAAAGGCTTGGAGGATAAATCGGTGCCAAGTCAGAGCCACAGCGAGGAGGAGGAGGAGGAGAATTCTGAGATGGCAGCAGATGCTGTAGAAGGATTGAGGGGCACCCCAGAGGCCAGGACTGAAGGGAACCCCAAAGCTAACACACTAGCGGGGGAGGAATCTGGTTCCAGCCTTCCTGCTCCCAAGAACACTTGCCCAGGAGTGAATGGTGAGGCAGAGCTTTCAGGACAGGTGGCATTGCAGTGTAACAGTGGGGCAGGGGATGGGGAGGCCAACCACAAGAGCGCTGCAGAGCATTTGCCAGACTGGCCGAACAGCCTCCCCCCAGCACCTAGCCCAGCTGCAGCTGCTCAGCCGGAGCTCCCAAAGGCTGGGTCCGTCAGCATGGGAGGGGAGCACTGGGAAGCTGGCTCTGCTGCGCAGATGGGGAGCAGCACGGCCTGGCACCTGGAAGAGCACAAGCCAAAGCAGGAAGACGATGAATGTGAGAACAAAGATGAGGAAGAGAAAGAGGGCACTGGCCAGAGCCGAGGTACGGCACTGTCTGGCTGGCAGGCATGCCCATGCACCCTGGGCAGCAAGCCTGTGTGTGTGCCAGCCTGCAGCATCAAGTGGCAGCTGCACCTGCCTTGTGGTTGGGGGCATGTGGCTTTCTGAGAAATAATATTCTCACTGGGGTAAGAGGAGCAAACACAGACTGCACTTGGGCTTCCAGGAGGCCTTCGGTGTGTGTGTGTGTGTGTGTTTGTGTGTCATTCTGCGCCCTTACTGCCCCCATGACAAGAGGGCTCATCCTGCCCTCTCTGCTCCTGCTAGCACTGGGCACTGCCCTGTGATGGGGGGCTCACTCTGCCCTCCCTGATCCTTCCCAGGACTTGGCACTGCCCTGTGCAAGGGGGGCTCGCACTGTCCACTTAGGACTGGGTGGCTCAGACTGGGCAGGGCTGTGTCCGTTCCTGCCAACATGGCTGGCCTTGGCCTTCAGCTGGTTCATTGTTCAGTGGCTTTGGGCCAAGCCCTGCTCCCTTGAGGTCAGTAACAGAACTCCGGGGCCAGGGCTCCCCCAGCCACTGCTGACCAGCCGCTCAGCCCACTCACAGTCAACGGGTTCACTTTTTGAAAAGAAAAATAGTCCCAAATGATGGCTGGTGAGTGGGGTGCTGACGGCACCAACCACGCAGTGGGGGGCTCCAGGGTTAAGATGGCACCTTCTGTTTGTCACTTTGCCTAGATTGTCCAGAGAAGTATTTGGAAGAGGAGAGCAAGAGCTCTCCCTGTGCCCAGGTTGGAGAGATGGACGAGCTGCAGGATTCCCGTGCACCCACCATTGCCCAGCTGCTGCAGGAGAAGACGCTCTACTCCTTCTCAGAGTGGCCTAAGGTGGCTTCAGAATCAGTTCTGCACCTGTCTGAATCATTCATAATTTGGGGCCACCCCGGCCCAGCTTCTCTGCCTTGCCACCCTTCACTAGGCTTATTCCTGGGCAAAAACCCAGCCACCCACCTCTATGGCCCTGGTCCATGTTAGTGAGTAGGCAAGGGACTGAATGCACAGAAATCCCACTGCTGCAAGCAGGATTTGGGGGTACCACAGGGAGGCCGAGCAAGGGGCCCAGTGGGATGGAAGTGAAGCACAGACTTAGCGCAGGCCCTCTGCCTGGGCTGAATTTCCCATTCCATACTCAGTGTCCCATGGCACACATGTGCATGGGTGTGCACCCAGACACAAGTTCACATGTGTATCCGGGGCCTTTAGAAATCTTCAGAAAGCATTGGTCCCTGCAACATTTGTGAAAAGAGAGGGGGTTCCATATTCACTCCCACAGGCTCTCTGCATTTCCCTCGGGGCTCAAGGGCCTGTCCGTCCACATTGCCCTTTGCATGCCATGGCCTTGGGTTTGCCATGCTACTGAGCTGTCTGCTTCTGCTTGCAGGACCGAGTGATCATTAACCGCATAGATAATATCTGTCACGCCATCTTAAAGGGCAAGTGGCCCTCTTCTAGCCAGCAGTTTGAAACACAAACCCTGATGCCCACATCAGGGTTAGCCAGCAACGCAGGCACTAGGAACAGCTTTGCCGAGCCAGAAGCCCCGGACCCCAGCTTCAACAACGGAGTGTTAGTTGCACAAGTACAAAAGGTGAGGGTGTCAGGGCACGTGGCCAGACCACCTACCCCTTAGGAATTCCACCTCCCTGGTGTTCAGGGCTTCCCAGCCTGGGGAACTCCGCAGCTTGCCCTCCTCTAGCTCTCATTGTTCTGCAATTTGCAGTGTATTGTATAGTCCCAGGGGCAGCTTGGAGACCCTTCCCCCCCCCACACCTGGCATTCACCCAGGTACCAGGTGGGCGGATAGTTAGGTCACTGTGGGGTGACGAGTCACAGCAACCCCTGGGGCAACATGTATAATCTCATCCCAGGGGTGCCCCTTTATTTACTGACATTATGAGAACAGCAGCTGGAGGTCCCAGCGAAACAACTCGATGCATTTCTGTGAGCGGCTCTGCTCACCTTCCTTTGGAGGGAGAGGTGCTTCAAAATCCCTCCTCCCGCACTCAGCTTAGCCGAGAACACGGTGCTCTGCCTACACCCCAGCAGGGGTGTAACAGAGGCACTGCCCTGGGGCCGGCACTCTGAGTAGAGTGCTCTGTCTTCCCAGCACAGAGACCCTACTTATGCACTGTCCTGCTGAGTGAGAGGCGGCTGGGCTCTGGTTCTGAGGCCAACAGCTGCTGGCAGGAGCCACTCCTACAGCTCACTGAGCTGCAGCACACGTGCTGCAGTATGGGGCTCTGCAGGAAGTCCCACTTCATCCATCCCTTTAGCAAGGAAGTGGTGACTATCTTCTGGGCTGGGGGTAAAGGGTCATAGAGGGCTCCAGCAGAGATTGAGGAGCTCTATCCAGTCTTGATAGCCACCTGTCTCTATACACTCCCCTCCCTCAGCTCCTAGCCCCATGAAACCTCTCTCTTCCCCAGTGTTTTAGCCCTTGCAGCCCCTTCTCACTCTATAATTCTATGATTCTAGTGAGCGCTGGATTTAAAAAGTGCTTCTGAGTGTTGTAAGGCCTGTGCGATGTAGGCCATAGCTGTGACCATTTCTCTGGCTTTGCTGCACACAGGAAAGCTTCCTGGCTCCTGCCTTTACGAAGGATGAACGAAAGCACAGGCAGCCCTATGAGTTTGAGCTGGAGAGAGACGCCAAACCTAGAAGCCTCGAACAGTTAGCTGCATCACACTCCCGTCCACCTGTAGTGCTGAATGGCTGGCGGGACTCGGCAGGGAACCTGGCCAGAGCATCTGATGGATCCCCAGGAAACCCCACTCCTTTCCCCCTGAACAGTAACCTGCCCAAGTTAGGGACAGTGCACTCCCTGCAGGGGTCCCTGGGCATGGACTTGTCCGGCATCCTCCAGGCAGGGCTAATCCATCCTGTCACAGGGCAGATTGTCAATGGAAGCCTCCGGAGAGATGATGCTGCCATGAGGAGACGACGGGGCAGGAGAAAAAATGTGGAAGGGATGGACCTTATCTTCTTGAAGGAGAGGAGCCTTCAAACCGGGCTGCAGGTGGGTAAATAATTCCCCCTCCCAAAGCAGGCAGGATTCAGCACCTGAATGCTCACGTGGATCCAGCTGTTCACTCAATAACTGCTTAGCTCTGCTGTCCATCCCAGGGCAGGGCAGGGCAGGCCTGGACAACTGCCCCCTCATTGACAGCAAACCTGTAGCAGTAGAAACAGACTCAACCCCAGAGAGGCAGGCCCTGCCTCTTGGTGAGGGGGGAGGTGTGGGCTTGCAGAGCTTCCTGCAGCCCCCGTTCAGGGCACACATCCCTGAGTGCTTGAGTACTGCTAAGCATTAAAACCTGATCTCCCATGTGGGGGCTACTGTATTTATGTAGATGGAGTGAAGGGGCTCAGAAAGTCAAAGGTGTTAACGTGCACTCAGTCACTGTCCAAGACGAGACAGCAGTAAACAAGGTTCAGGGTTTGGTATACAGAGACCTCAGCCTGCATAGTCCCATGGGAAACATGCCATTAAATGTCCTTTTAACCTTCCAGTGAAGATACAGAAAAGAAGGGAAACCAGTTGAAGCATTTGAAATGCAGAATGTTATGTCAGGCTTTCACTGTACCAGCTCCCTTTCCCTTGAGCTGGAGAGCCTTTAGAAGACAAACCCCTTGTTCAGCAGTCTCTTACATGGCATGAAAGATGCTAAGAACTCCTGTGGGAGAAAGAGAAGTGAGTGGAGATGGGGGGAAGCTGTCATCGGTGCTGCTGCTAAAGTCCAATCCCATTTCCTAGAGACCAGACAAGACAAAAGAGGGAGAGAAAAGAACAGCAAAGGTAGAAAATGCAGCTGCAGCTTAATTCCTCCTTACAGCCTCGCTGCTGGCTGAGACCTGGCAAACTCATACCTACATCGGGCTGCTGAGGGCCTTGCATATTATATTATATTGGGGAGTATATTGGGGGCATGGGAGGGAGACCAGGGCGGGGAAGGGCGGCATCTTCAGCATTTAGCTGGAGCCAGTGGAGGTGGTGATGACAGACCTGGTCTGGACAGGACAGCTCTCAGGATCCAGGTGAAGAAAGAGATGATAGGGGTGGCAGCCATGATGGTGAACGACCTTCCTTCCCCTTCTCTCAGTGCTGTGGTAACCAGCTCCTGCCACCGTCAGTCAGCCAGGGTTCGCCTCAGTCAGCAATTGTTCCCCTTCACTTCCTCACAGCCAGTTTGTGTCTCTCAGTCCCTCCGAATGGGGTGATGGGCACAACAGCCCATCCTGGTCCCATCCTCTCGATGTTTTGTCCACCAACAGGCCTAATTTTCAATACACCAATTTTGATTCGTTGATTTCCAGGCTCACACTGCGCTCATTTACTGCGTGATCTTCGCGCAGTCCTTGAGATCTATCAGGAGGCCTTTGAGTTGGACTAAGTCAGCCTGTCTCTTTTTTTCCACTCACCATTTGCTATTATAGGTTATTGTGACAATCCATGAACTCTAATTCACTTCACAGCTGGAATCCCAATGAGGGTAAATTCGTAGGCCCGGTTACCACAACAGGGCTTCACAGGGATGGAGAGCCCAGGGAAGGTACTGGGCTGAATTCCCCCACCCCAGCAAAAGGCAGGGCTCTGCCCCCTCCTCATGCCCCAGGAGATTCACCCTGGAAAGGGCAGCAGGCTCTTGGAACAAGGAAGCTTTAGGTTTCTTCTGGGACTCCAGAGGAGGCTGGCTGGGTGAGGGATGAATCACACCCATTCTGGGTGGAGCCAGCCAGCTCCTGGCCACCTGGCAGAGCAGAGTTTGTGGGAGATTTGCAGCACTGCAAACCCCACTCAGGGTGGATTTCCCACAGCCTGGGTACCGCCAGCAAACCAGGGGTGCAGAGAGCCTGTTGCCTGAGGTAGTGCCATGCCCTCTCTAGATGCAGCTGGTGGGAGCTTCTTCTCCCTAGAGAGGATGTGGGGTGAGGCCTCTCCCCAAGAACCAGGATCCGGTAGCACATTGTGCCTCGTGGCAATTAGGGCATTTTCTAGGTGACGTCCAGAAGCACAGACTGGTCCCACATCTCCCAGCTCTCTCGCCCCTAGTGCAAACAGGGTGTCTGTGAGGCTGAACGTTTCTCCTGGTGGCTTTTGGTGATCCAAATGAAGGACACCAGGAACTCCTGGGCTCCGGCTTGCCAAGCCCTGCCTGGGTGTCTGCAGGGCCGGGTTCTGCCTGGGTGCTCTCTGTGACATCGGGGTGAGAGAACTAGCAGTATGGTGGTGTTCCCAACATGGGCTCTCCCTTCTCCCTTCACTTCAGGATGTTCAGGAAGATCAGACCCAGCCTGCACAGAGCAGCCCGCACCCGGACGGGCTGGTCACCGCTACCTCAACTCCGCATACTGTCACAGCCGCAAGCATCCGGACAGAGAAGGCTGTTCCAAACAAGAGTCTCCTGGACTGGCTAAGACAGCAGTCGGACTACACACTCGATGTCCCTGGCTTCAGCACAGTAAGAGTGACCCTCTTGGGGGTCTCGGGCTTCAGTACGTCAGGTCTAGATGGCTGCCTCCTTCCTGACTGCCTTAGATCCAGATGCAAGGGGTGGGGCTGGTCTCCAGAGCTGCAGGTATCTCCTTTTTTGCAGGGCTAAGGCAGTTCTTTACACAATAAGGGCAAAGACACTTGAATAGCTGCACATTCCTGGCAGATGGCATTGTTACCTGCTGTCTGTTTGCTGGCTCCTGCTACGAGGATTTGCTGCCCAGTGATGTGGCAGGACTAGGTCGGTGCCTCAAAAAATGGGTGGGGAATGGGCAGAGCTCTGAATCTAGGTGCCCCCAAAATTGTGCCTGCAGCTCATATCTCACCTGGGTCACTGGATGACAAAGCACAGCTAAGTCAAAGGAGACTTTTTATAACAGAGCAGAAGGCAGCAGGCATGGCCCTACTCAGCCCTGTGAGCTGCTAGTGAACCTCAAGGGCATTGAAGTAGGAGGAATTTACAAGTCTCAAGCCACACAGCCCATGAGGGCAAGTCACACTGCAGTGCCCAAGGTTTGGATGTGTCACTTTCCCAGGGAACAGAGCCTAGATTAGCAGACAGCACCAACACCAGGCACAGTTGCTCCTGGACCCAACCAGCACAATCCTCCGCAGGCTTAATCTTTCAGATCCCAGGCTGAGCACAGCTTAAGCTTGTCCCAGTATCCGCTCCTTATCCATCGTTCAGTAGCCAGGCCTGCTGTCCAGCTCTGATAGCTTCTCTCCGTTCCCTGCACTAGCATATAGATAATTATATGGCGAGAAAAGAGGTTATTTTACCTTCATATTTGGCACTGGTGTGATCCCTGCTGGAATACTGTGTCCAGTTCTGGTGCCCACAATTTAAGGATATTGATAAATTGAAGAGGGTTCAGAGAAGAGCCACCAGAATGATTAAAGGAGGAGAAAAACAGCCTTATAGTGATAGACTCCAAGAGCTCAATCGATTTAGCTTATCAAAAAGAAGGTTAAGGGGTGAGTTGATCACAGTCTACAAGTACCTACATGGGAACAAATATTTAATATTGGGCTCTTCTGTCTAGAAGAGAAAAGTCTAAACATGAGCCAGTGGCTGGAAGTTGAAGGTAGACACATTCAGACTGGAAATAAGGTGTAAATTTTTAACAGTGAGAACAATTTGCCAAGGATTGTGGTGGATTCTCCATCAGTGACAACTTTTAAATCAAGATGGGCTGTTTTTCTAACAGATCTGCTCCAGGAATTATTGTTTGGCAGGTCTCTGGCCTGTGTTATGGAGGTCAAACTAGATAATCATGATGGTCCCTTCTAGCCTTGGAATCTATGAATTGGGCTAGCCACAAAACCACAAGCAAAAACCAAGAGGGGAGAGAACATAATTTCTTGCCTTTCAAAGTGAAATGAAGATGAAATTTGAAACCCTTGTGCTCTGAGTGACTGAGGAAAGCTCCCCTGATCACCCATCCCCACTTGTGTGTCTATTTGTTATCCAGGATCTATGGGAGGACAGACAGGAGAGGAGCATGTGTTCAGAACACGCCAGACCTGTTCCCAGAAGTTCATAAACACCCAACTCTTCTTCCAACAGGCTGTTTTTTCATATTTTGGCTCATTTGCCTATAAAGTAGCTTACTAATCTGAATGCAGACCATGAAACATTACGGAAAGGGAATCAAGAGAGATACTGATGATGTCTATAAAAAAGCTGTGTCTACGTGCTGAGGGATTGTGCACGTGGAACTGCAATCTGAGGAGTGTAAAGATTCCCTGGGAGCTCAGAGCACAGGCAGTGAGCGGCTCCTGAGGCGAATGGGTATGTTAGCATGACCAGCTGCTTAGAACTGAGAAGCCCAGAATTTGCGGGCAGAGCTAGTTATAGCCCAAAGAAACCTCACCAGCGACATGCACAAGGCGAGATTCTCAGGAGTCCTGAAGCAGTGGCACTCAACACACGTGAGTGTGGGGGGCCTTCTGCTACCTTGCCACTCTCCCCGTCCTGTCTTGGAGGCAGCCAGAAGCTCTAAATTGCACCCAAAGGGGCTGTTCTGCCAGTGAGTACTACTGGAGCACTGTGCATCCCAGTCATCCCTGTGCCTGCGGTGGTGTAACACTGGCTCTGTGGGATTCCCCATGTGGGGGCAATCCTCATCTGTCTGGTCAGGACAGCTTTAACGTGCTTTGTGCTCCTTTGACAGTATAGACTGGGCTTTACTGAAGGCCAGGACTGGGCCTAGGGCCTTTTCTTGGCAGAAAAACCCTGGTTTCTGACTGATTTAGGCAGCTGCATATTTTTCCTCTTCCTTCCATACATTTGCACTGGCTTACTGCAGCTGTGCAGGTTGCACTCCTGAAGAGCAGTGATCTAGAGTTCACATGGCTCAGTGGGTTTGCAGCGGGTAAAGCTGGAATATCAGCAAGCAAGAGAATGGGATGAAATTAAGCAAAGGAAAATGTAGGCTGAATAACAGGAAAACCTTCTGGACAGCAAATTCTGGAATCAACTTGCAAGGGAAGGCGTGGAGGCACCTCTCATGGCACCTCACATTTAAAACAATGCTGGCAACTAGTCTGTGAAGAGCGATCCTGGTTCTGGGGGGGGGGGGGAGTTCCCTAAAAGGGACCAAGTAGGGCATTTTCCTCTCTGAGTGTCTGAGGTGGGATTAGCGGATAGGCAGATAATAAACAAGGGTCCATGGACACTGAGGCCTGTATTAATGTCCCTGAGCCTCTATGATTAGGGGTCAGACTGGTGCCCCGTTAGGCCAAAAGCCATAATGCAGAGAAAAGATTGGTCACAATCAAACTGACTCAGGAAATGGGGAAACTGCAAAACTTACAAGTCTTATCCACCTGCTAGATGTGGAAACAGAAGCACAAAGAAATTAAGGGACTTCATGACGGTCACTCAGGAAGTCGGGGCAGAGTCTGACTAGAATCCTGGAATCTTGACTCCCAGTCCTATACACTAACCATGGGTCCACACTTGCTCCCCTAGACTTGCAGTCTGAGAGTAGAAGGAGATCGGGGTTAGGGTTTGTATCTGGAGTACGTCTGGTAGGATAGGCATGATTATTAATTACTTGTATTACCGTAGTGGCGAGGTGTCCTAATTTTTGGACCAGGACGCCACTGCACAAGGTCTGTGCAAGCGCAGAACCAAAAGAAGGTCCAGTGGCCCAAAGAGCTTCCAATCTAAGGTTAAGACAGACAAGAGACACTAGCTGGTCACAGACAGATGGCCAGGCATGTGAGATGCTGACACACTGTGGCACATACTGCTGTGCTCTTCCTTTCCGAATTATGGCTGGGACTTTTTAAGAAGATCCAGCATAGTCTCTCTGCGGTGAATTTAGTGACAGGCAACATTCCTGGGTGTGCAGAGACATCAGCCAGAGATGGAGTTGTTAGTCTAGGCTGAGGCATAGCAAAAGCATCTTCAGACCCATCAAAATAGGTTTGCACTCATCCAAAAAGTAGAGCTGTGCAGTGCGGCCTGCACAGATGCTCCTCCCTCACACCATCAGCTTGGCTTGGCCATTCTCCCTCCAACTTTCTAGCCATCCATTCTGATTAATGCTCTCTTATTTGCATTCTAGAGTTTTTCAGACAAGCCCAAGCAGAGGAGGCAGCGCTGCAAGGACCCCAGCAAACTGGACATAAACTCACTCACAGGAGAGGAGCGGGTGCCTGTGGTCCATAAGGGTACAGGACGGAGGGTAAGCAAACACATTTGTTGTGCTTGGTCCTTGGTCTGCATAGAAATAGTTAGCAGAGACCCAGCTATCCCACCTGGATTTTAAATCCTGAGAAGTAGGTAGGATGGTGACCAAGTCTGTAATACACACATGGATCTATACCACTGTCAGAGCCACAAGTGTGCCTGGGGGATAGCAACTTACTGACAATAATTAACTGACTCAGCAGAGTAGATATAGACTGTTCTTTGAGTGCTTCCTCATGTCCATGCCAGTATAGGTGTGTGTCTATCGCGTGCGCTGTCACTGGAAGTCTTCCTCCCCCCCTCCAGTGATATCTGTCAGGTCGACTCTGGTGCCCCCTGGAGTGGTGCCTTCATGGCATGGCATTTAGGCACCTGCCAACCTGCCTCTTCCTCAGTTCCTTCTGTCCATGGTGGTTGCTGGAATGCTCTTAACTCTTGCTCAGCAAGTGATCCCCATAGTGATCTTCTTTCTTTAACTAAATTGTAAATAAGTGTAAATAATTACTTACTATACTTATTCTAACTAACTAATAGTTAGTTTACTTGTAAGCATTCACCCTGCGGGGCTATCCTGCCCGGACCACAGGGCATGCCTACATCCAAGGGCTTCAAACAGTGTGGAGCGTGCTGCAAACACATTCCAATAAGTGACCCCCATGACAGCTGTTTGAAATACCTGGGAGGGTCACATCCAAGGAAAGTGCCAGATTTGTAGGAATTTCAAACCAAGAACAAAAAAGAAACAATCAGTTGAAATTTCTTCTCATGGAGGGGGCACTTCACCTGCTTCAGAGCTGCAGCCTGACCTGGCACCAAGTACTTCCTTGACCAGGAGTGTACTGGCATCCATTAGGGAAACCCAGTATGGACCAGGCTCCCTGGTGCTGACCTCCTCCCGGCATACTTCTTTGGCACCCAAGAGGTCAACAGCGTGACACTATTCTCCATCACCAGTGCCGAAGAAGAGGACAGAAAAGTCAGAATGGGGGCGTTCCCCTGTGAGAAAGACCTTAGAGTGAGATCTGTGGTGGGCCACTTTCAATCAGTTGCAATCCAACCGTCTCTGTTGACTCCGGCCCCAGGGGAGGAACCCATTGAGTCCAGTACTGATGGACTCCTCACATAGGGTTAGCCAAGAAGGGGAGACAACCCTGGCAGCATCATCAATGCCAGAGGCATATGAGGCAGTGTGGAACCTTCTAACTCTCCCAGCACCACCATCCCCCCCAAGCTGAGGTCCACAAGGGACAATGCAGGCACCGCAAGGCCCAGTTCCAAGAGAGCAAGCACCAGTCCAGTGCCTCACCATCATTGCAGGCTTGCCCAGCCCTCTGTGCCGCTCACCATCAAGAGACTCAACACCACAGACACGCTCACCACAGTGACACTGCACCTTGCCCCAACGCCGGTCTTGTTCCTGGCACCAGTCACAGTCTAGGCACTGGTCACAGTCTTGGTGCCGCTCCAAGTCATAGCACCACTCTCCGTTGCAGCACCGTTCTCTACCACGATGCTGCTCTCCATCATGGTACGGTTATTCAGTGCCAAGGAGCAAGGCACCGCCCTGTTTGCCTAGGGAACGGGTCCTCAGGCTCCGAATCACAGGAGTCGTCATACACCTGACGAGGGAGCAGACTCTGGGCGGAACATAGATGCCCAGCTGACATGGTCCAAGGCCTCGCTCCTCAAGCGTGGGCCCCTGGTCAATGGCAGATGCCACCTCAGTGGCCAATGTTGACCCCTTGGCTGCACATGCTCCAGGGCTCCCACAGGAGACACTCACTTTCAGCACCCTCTGAGATGAGCTCCCTCCATCCCTGTCGGAAAGGGGTTCCATTCCTGGGTCAGAAGTCCAGGACTCTCAGATCACACCTGTGGGAGACCCATCAGCACCGGATGACGTACAAGGCCCGGTGGCAGTCCAGGCCTCTTTGTCATCCTCCCCTGACAAGGCAGTGGCTGACATGGCCATAGCCCCAATGCAGGATGACTACAAAGCCCACAGGAGCTCCTGCGTCGGATGGCTCAGAACCTCAACCTCCAAGTGGAGGAGATTGCGGAATCAGCCCCGGCCTTGGCAGACGTTCTGACTCCCTTGGGTCTGGCAAGAGTAGCCTTGCCCCTGAAGGAAGCCATCCTACAGCCTATAAGGGCATTGTGGCAGACCCTGGCCTCTCTCCAGCCCATGGCTAAACGGGTGGAGAGGAAGTATTTCGTCCCCCATAAGGGCTATGAATATTTGCACACCCACTCCTCACCCGGCTCCCTGGTTGTTGTTGCGGCCAACAAGAGGGAAAGGCACAGCAGGGACTATTGCCCAAAGCAAAAGAGGCCAGGAAACTGCACCTCTTATGGATAAATGTGTACTCCATGGGAGGTCTCCAGTTAACGATTGCATATCACCAGGCCCTATTTAATCAGTATGACTTTAATTCTTGGTCAGCCATGCAAAAATTTCAAGAGCTCCTGCCATCGGATTCTAGGTCAGAGTTTGCGGCCCTGGTGGAAGAAGGCAAGGCCATAGCCAAGGCATCCCTCCAGGCATCCCTAGATGCCGCAGACGCAGCAACCCGAGCGATGGTCACGAGGGTAGTGCTGAGGCGAAGCTCCTGGCTTCAGTCGTCTTGCCTACCGTATGAGGGTAGGGATGGTGTCCCTAGCCGCTGTTTGACGGAAGCTGGGAATAAGCAACAGGGGATGGATCACTTGGTGATTACCTGTTCTGTTCATTCTGTCTAGGGCACCTGGCATTGGCCACTGTCAGAAGACAGGATACTGGGCTAGATGGACCTTTGATCTGACTCAGTATGGCTGTTTTTATGTTCTTACGACCTCCTGTTTGAGGGACATTCCCTCTTCTCAGAACAAATGGACACCCAGCTTCATAGCCTAAAAGACTCGAGGGCGACCCTGAAGTCATTGGGCCTCCACACTCCGGCCCCATTCCAGAAGCATTGTAAGCCTCAGCCCATGGGCCATTTTTACCTGCCACATCACCAGCAGAGGCAAGACTTTGGGTGAAAGAGGAATAAGGAGCTCAGGAAAAGAGAGGCCCTTCACTCCTCATCAGCCTCGACATCTGCGCCCGCAAAACAACTGTTGGGGAATAAACAAAACTTTTGAGGGTGCACCCGAGGACAGTGCACCAGTTCAGAACCTGAATCTTATCCTTATGTTCGTGGACCATTTGTCCCATTTTTACTGGGCACGGGCCAACATCACATCCAACTGATGGGCGCTCTGCACGGTAGAAGTGGGATATACCATGCAATTTATTTCTTTCCCTCCTTCCCACCTCTCCTCCCCGTCCCTCTTTAGGGACCCTTCTCACGAAAATCTTCTAGCCAAGGATGTGCAGTCACTCTTAAGGGTGGGGGCAGTGGAGGAAGTTCCCGTGGAGCTAAGAGGCAAGGGGTTTTACTCCCACTACTTCCTGATCCCAAAGTCCAACGGAGTTCTCAGGCCTGTCCTAGACCTCAGGAATCTCAACAAGTTCTTGAAGAAGCTGAAGTTCCACATGCTCTCTCTGGCCTTGATTATTCCTTCCCTAGATCCAGGGGACCGGTGTGCCACCCTCAACTTGAGACACGCATACTTTCGTATCGCTGTCTTCCGAGACCACCGAAAATATCTTTGATTTGTGGTAAATCAGAACCACTATCAGTTCACATTGCTGCCTTTTGGCCTGTCGGCAACACCGAGAATATTTACGAAATGCCTGGCGGTGGCGGTGGCCTCCCTCGGGAGGCGAGGGGTGCGGGTCTACCCATACCTAGGCGACTGGCCGGTCAGGGGCCAGTCCAGGGTACTTGTGGAACAGCACGTGGGCCTCGTACTGTTCACTTTCAGGAACCTGGGATTCCTGGTCAACGAACACAAGTCTAACTTCATGCCCGTCCAGAGGACAGAATTTATAGGAGCGATTCTCGATGCGAATCAGGTGAGGGCCTTCCTGCTGGAGAACCATTTCAGGGCCATCGTAGCTCTTATACCAAGCCTGAAAGCATGCCCCACCACCATGGCAAGGAGCTGTTGGAAGCTCCTGGGGCACATGGCCTCTTGCACTGTGCAGCATACACATCTCAGACTGCGCCCTCTCCAACTGTGGCTGGTATCAGTGTACATATCAGGTTGTCACCCACTAGACAGAGTGGTCTCACTTCCGCCGGCAACACTCAAAGCCCTTCAGTAGTGGCTGGAACGAGACACAGTGTGTGCCGGCGTTCCCTTCACAAGGCCCACACCTTCAGTGGAGCTAGTCACAAATGCCTTGGACATGGGGCCTCCTCCCACACCCCTCATCCACAAAGTTCTACTCAAGGTCAGAAAGGACAAGGCTCACATGATTCTCATAGTGCCGACATGGCCGCGGCAACACTGGTTCTCAACATTGCTGGACCTCTCAATAAACATGCCAGTCAGCCTTCCAGTGTGGCCAGATCGGATCTCCCAGGAGCACAGCTGCATGCTCCCACCCGAATCTAGAGTCCCTGCACCTGACGGCTTGGAACCTTTGAGGCTGAGTGAGATGGAACAGTACTGCTGGATGTCGGTACAAGTCATCCTTATAGGTAGTAGAAAGCAGTCAACCAGAATGGCCTACCTAGCAAAGTGGAAAAGGTTCTCACTGTGGTCACTTCAGAAAGGGGTCTCCCCCTTGGATACGACGCTGCCCTTTATCCTAGATTACTTGCTTTACCTGAAGAAGGAAGATCTTGCAGTATCTTCCACAAAAGTCCACTTAGCTGCAATCTCAGCATTCTACCCATCGGTGAATGGCAGATCGGTTTTCTCCAACCCGATTTGTGCTCAGTTCCTGAAGGGTTTAGATCGCCTGTATCCACAGGTGCACCAGCTTCTGGTCCCCTGGGATCTCAATCTGGTGCTATCTCAGTTGACAGGGCCCCTGTTCGAACCATTGGCAACGTGTCCCTTGATTTACTTATCCTGGAAGACTGCCTTCCTGGTGTCCATCACCTCAGCCAGGAGGGTTTCGGAGATCTGAGCACTCACCTCCTAACCACCGTACACTGTCTTCTTCAGGGACAAAGTTAGGCTTCGCCCACACCCGTCCTTCCTTCCAAAGGTGATCTCCCATTCCCACAGTAGTCAGGACATCTTTCTCCCAGTCTTCTGTCCCAAGCCCCATAAAAAGAGACAGAAGCAGAAGCTGCACTCTGGATGTTAGACGTGCCCCGGATTTTTACATAGAAAGGATCAAACCCTTTCGGACGGACACCCAACTTTTCATTGCTATCGCAGAAAGGATGAAGGGGAACCCAGTCTTGGCGCAGAGAATCCCTTCCTGGATAACATCCTGCATCCTCAAGTGCTATGACTGGCGAAGGTGGCTCCCTGTAACAGAGCCTCCTTGGTCCTGTTTCTGTCTCGGTCAACAAACTACGCAGAGACCCTCGTGCTGGTCCAACACCTTGTGCAGTTTATTTATAAAGGAGGCTCACCACCTTCACAACATACATAGTACCTTTAACAAGCAAGGGAGGTACTCTCTCTGTCCCTCTTACTGCCTGCTTCCCCCCCCCCCTTTTTACTTCCTTCCTGTGCCTATTTGTGGGCTCTGGCTAATGGCTTAATTAGCCTTTCTGCCCTGCCCCACCCACAAATTAGGCACTGCTCTGTTTAGTCAGCTCCAATCTGCTATGCCTAATTAGAGCTGCTGTGAACAGAGTGCTGACTCAGGCTTTCATACCTAGCACTCGTAACACCTTCCCCCCCCTTATATAACCGCAAGGTTCTTCTTTCCCTGTGCTCTGCCTCCCTTACAGAGGGGCCACCCTCTCTATCTCCAGGGCAATCATATGGGTTTCCCTTGTGGGATTTGTTCATCCCCCACCCACAGACCTCTCACCATGTGGGGGGTGAATACCCCCCATAGCTCTGTAGCAGCCCATTTGTCTTCACACTAGGGCCATCCTGGGGGGTTACTCCTCTCATTCTCTCTCTTTGAATTTGGCAGGGGATAGAGGTTACTCCCCTCATCCCCTGGATCACCCAGGGCACCATGTTCCCTCAAGTCTCCAAACTGTGCCTGGGTTTCTTCTCCTGGGGGTTGTATCGCAGGGAGCTCCACTGGCCCCCTGACCTCTACAAAGGAGTTTGGGCTGTCTGTCCCTCCATACCTCCTTCCTTACTTCCCTGGGGACATCTCTTTTCTCCTTATTCAGGCTTTGTTGTCTAGGGGTGTCTCCTGATTCTTTCTGAGGGTTCCTCCTCTCTCTCCTCCCAGTTCTCCTTTTCCTTATGTGGAATTCCTCCCACCACCTCGCTTCCCAATGGGGAATGGACTCTAATCCGTGCTCAAGACAACCGGATAAGGCAGCCCCTCCATTACCGCAACTTGTTTCCACCAAAATCTTCCCCGGACCTCCAGGGGCACCTGGGCTATGGGGCAATTCCTCTTATCCCCATGGACACACTATGTGTCCATAGTTGCTCCTGGAATTATCTAGTGAGAATTCACCAACTCCCTCTGGACAAGAAAGCAAGCTGAGGCTGTATCCACAAGGCCCTTCTGGAGTTTCCTCCCCACCATCACAGAAATGGTGAACAGTTTTTTGCCCTTTTTTCTTCCCTCCTGCCCTGGCCCAGCCACAAAAGTTGGCAAAATCCATGTACAGGCAGTCCCCTTTCATCTGTCCAGATAGTCCACATTGCGAATAATGGGTCGAGTCCCAGCTGGAACTCTTCGGGTTCTTCCTGTCCATGCCACTTCCTGCTGTGGGTTCTCTGGTCTTCCTCCCCAGCTCTGGATCCTTATATGGTTGCCCATCTTTCCTGGGAAAGTCTGCCTCTGCATACTCCTCTGTCAGTTTCTCAGCAGCATCCACTGTGCTCAGTGGATGTCACCTGACCCACACTCGTATGTTCTCGGGGAGGCCCTGAAGGAACTGATCTAATACCAGAGCTTCCATTATTTCCACCACCATTTGGATATCTGGTCTCAACCAGCGGGTGGCCCAGTCCATCAACCTTTGGGCAAATGCCAGGGGCCATAAACCTCCTGTTAACCTTGCGGATCTGAACTTTTGGCAGTACTTCCCAGTTGACATCTCTTCCCAATCCAGGATGGCTGCCCTCACCGTCTCATATTTTTTGGCCTGCTCCTCACTCCACCATATAGGCCGCTTGGGCTTCTCCCAACAGATAAGGGGTGAACTGCATGGCCCAAGTTGCTCTAGCCCAACCTGCACCGATAGCCACCCTCTCAAAAGTGTCCAGGAATGCAGGGCCCATTTTACATAGTTCAAGGTTCTGTGTTTGGGCACCATCTCCCATCAGGGAAATTACCACCTTCTGTAGGAGCTGCTGCTGGACACTGGCTTGTTCCCTTATGAAGTCCTGCAGGCTTTTCTGCTGCTCTGCCTGACAGGCAAGCAAAGCCTGTCTCTCCATGTGATGGGATTGTTGAAAACCTTGTAGGGCCTTCTGCATCTCCTCTTGTAGTTTTACTAGCCATTGCAGGGTCTCCTCCATTGTGCGGGCCACCGAACCCTTGCGCTGGCTCAGATCCCAGACAAGGCCCCACATGTAACACAGCCTCCTTGGTCCTGTTTCTGTCTTGGTCGACAAACTATGCAGAGACCCTCGTGCTGGTCCGACTCCTTGTGCAGTTTATTTATAAAGGAGGTCTACCACCATCACAACATACATAGCGCCTTTAACAAGCAGGGGAGAGCAATCTCTCTATCCCTTTTACTGCCTGCTTCCCACCTTTTTACTTCCTTCCTGTGCCTATTTGTGGGCTCTGGCTAATGGCTTAATTAGCTTTTCTGCCCTGCCCCACCCTGCCCACAAATTAGGCAGAGCTCTGCTTAGTCAGCTCCAATCTGCTTTGCCTGATAGGAGCTGCTGTGAACAGAGTGCTGACTCAGGCTTTGATACCTAGCACTCTGTCACACTCCCCCACACTTAGTGCACTGTATGAGATCGCAGGCCTCATCAGCAGCATTCTTGGCTCATGTCCCAGTCGTAGATATCTACAAGGTGGCAACCTGGTCTTCCATCCACTACACACTACACCATTACTCAATAGGCAAGAGGTGATGCAGCCTTCAGTACAGCAGTCCTCCAGTCCATGTCTTGCAGAAACTCCAATCCCACCACCTGACTGATTGCTTGGGAATTACTTATATTGTAACGGACATGAGCAAGCACTTGAAGAAAAGACAGTTACTAACCTTTCCATAACTGTTCTTCGAGATGTGTTGCTCATGTCTATTCCACAGCCCACCCTCCTGCCCTTCTCTCAGTTACTGACAAGAAGGAACTGAGGAGGAGGCAGGTTGGTAGATGGCTATATACCATGCCATGAAGGCGCCACTCCAGGGGGCACCAGAGTCGACCTGACAGATACCACTAGGGGAAAAAAAGTCTATATTGGAATGGACATGAGCAACACCTCTTGAAGAACAATGGTTACAGAAAGGTTAGTAACCGTCTTTTCTAGATACACACACTCACCAAGGCACATGGGTCCCACAACAGGAAAGCAATTCAGCTTAAAGGATCAAAGTAATGCCTGCTGTTGGCTGCAGGGGCTAATTTGATCCTTACCTGTCAATTTCCTGGGGTTATTTCACAAACTTTTTTTTTTATGTGGTGCAAATATCTTTGTTTTGTCCCTGATTGAGAAGTGCAGGAACAGCATGTAAATCCTCTTCCAAGTCCTGGGCAGAGCCATGCTGTGTGCAGGTAGTGGGCAGGTTCTCAAGCACATTCTCTCACTTGTTTCAAAAATGTTGAGAAAGTAGCACAAAGTCTGAGTCAAGATCATGGTTTTGTCTCTGCAGTGCAAACCCCGGTGTGACAGGAGAAGGCGAGTCTCAGGCAGCTGAGTTCTTGTATCTTCTCCTTACAGTGATGAAGGACCTTAACTTGCCCACAAAATTCCATTTAAAACAAACCCATGTGATAGTGGCAGGTGACTTTAAAAATAATCATTTAATTAAAAATCAAACAAACTGGTGAGTTAGAAAGACATTGGCTCCCCTTGTGCTTCCCTGTGCTGCAACAGTGAGACCACCATCGGACAGAGCTGGTGAGTTTCAGGCCGGCTTCTGAGCATCCCCCTTACAAAAGCCACCATCACCACAACTTGATCCCCTCATTGGCAGGCTTAGCAAGGAGGCCAGAGAACAGACCCTCGAGACTGAACTTCCCTCTCTCCACAGGTCAGGGCTGAGCCACAGTGTCTGGAAGCAGCACAGAGGAAGCTTGCAGTCAGCACCAATACAGACATTCACTGCACTGGGCACTGCAAACACAGAGTCAGACAGTCCAAATAAATAGAAGAAGCAAATGCTCTTATCCCTGTTTGCCAGATGGGGGACAAAGACACAGAGAAAAAGTGACTTGTGCCAGGTCTCAGCGAGTTGCTGGTAGAGGAGCACTGGCCGAGTGCTAGTACAGAGCCTTCGGCACGAGATCCTTCCTCCCAGTGACAAAATTCTGTGACGTAGACGGGAGTAGGCCCAGGCTGTGCACCTCACTGGACACCACGCACTGTCTGCGGGTGAAACTTGGGTTGCTGATGCCACATAAGGAATCAAAACTCCAGGCTGTTTGGTTTTAAGAAATGATCATAGCTGCCGAGTGTTGGGGAGCAGCGGTAATGCCCCCGAACAGGGAGGCCAGCTGCACCTCACCTATGTGTACACCTAGAAGGTTAATCATATTTCTTATGTAACTTTGCATAACTCTTTCTGGAACAGAGGTCATCCTTTTACTGTGTTTTATAGTTAGGGGGAGCCATGGCACCAGCATTGAAGGAATTGCCAAGGTGGCTTGATGCAAACTTGGAGTATGCTGTTGCAGCAGACTGGGCTGACATTGTTAAGCTTTCAGTAAGTTAGAGCTTTTGGAGAAATCTGTATCATGTCATCTTTTCTTTCTCCTCCCCATCCCCACCCCCTTTTTTCCAAGGAGGGTCCCTGAATTGGAATGCAGGGCCTCAGTTATACACATGGGAGGGAATATCTACAGGAGCAACTCTGCCTGGTGTGGCCAAGTGACAACTCAGGGGGGAGCTGAGCACCCTGCAGATTGGTGGCAGGTGGCTAGGAAAAGTGGAAGAGGAAATATTTTGCAGTGATGGGAAAGGGAGGAGGCAAGTTTAGGCTAAATAGCAAGAAAATCTACTGGACAGAGAGATTTAAGACTTGGGATGTTTAGAAATGACTAGACAAGGCACTAGAAATGTTGTAGAGGGAACACTCGTTCATGGGGCCGGACTGGGACAGGAAACAGACAAAATGTGACCATATAGGTCAGAATTTCAAGGGGGCCTCAGCTCAGCTTCTATATCAACTCCTGCAAATCCCACATTTGCTAAGAAACATGCAAATGTTCTAACAGGCCTAATATGCCTTAAGTGCAGGGAGGCACTTTTCAAAATTTGCCCCACTATTTTTTCTGTTCCTAATCTGAATCACTGCCCCAATGAGCAACAAGCTGCCATGGGTGGGAGCTCTTAGTTCCCTTGGACAGGGATTGCAAGGAGATTCAGCTGGTGTTTGGGTGGGGTTACTCCATTTTCATGTGGCCCTGTTCTCTCCCCCTCCCCCCCCTTTTTCTTGGTTGTGGAGTTGTGTGTGGCACTCATGCTGGGTTGGGAGGTGGGAGGAAAGCATGGGCAGTTTGAAGGTTTATGCTGCTCTACAACCGGCACTAGAGTGTGACAGACTGACCCATTCCCTCAAGAAACAAAGAGCTGCCAGGCCAGGATGGCGCCAGCCCCGCCAGCCCAGAGAGCAAGCCTCCAGTGCAACTTCTATCTCACACTGAGTCATTAGGCTTCCTTCAGGGGCTGGGTTTGGCATTTATTGTGTACATTTTCAAGAAGCAACCTCCACTTGTGCCCACACTTTGCTGATGCAAAGGCCTTCATGCCTGCTAACTGTTGGGTGCATCTTTTCTATTAGATTAACACTTGCATGTCTGTTACATCTGCACTCCCACAAGCAAGTGTTAGTATGGGGCGATGTTTGCACCTCCCAAGTCCAGGCACACACATGTGCACACACAGTTTGCCACAAGCACAGGTGGAGGCTGAGTAGAAAATTTACCCTTTTATGTGCAGTAGTTGTGCCATGTGAACCTCCAGTATATTTTGATCCAGCCTGCAGGACACATGCAGTGCATGGAGCTCCTACCCTTTTCAAGTCTAAATGCAAAATGTTTCCATTTAAATATGCATCATTTGCAACCTATCTGCTATCCTGAAACCCCAAGAATTAGGCATAAGAGGAAAGATATTAAAATGTTTGTGCTAAGAATGTTGGATAACAGGTTTTAATGCTATTCTGTAGATGCTCCTAGGTTATTTTGTAATTTAAACAGACACAGTCACACCAGGTTGTGTGTGTAGGTTAGCCCTATGTCTGGGGATCCAGAAGACCCTTATTGTTTCATATCTATACAAAACGGTTTGAGCCATACATTAAAGCTCTAAGTAATGGGTGAGCTCCTGAAAATAATGTGCATTTTTTGCAGCTTTGCTGTTGTGCGGGGCTTTGAAAATTTGGCCCTTAAAGTCTAAAAAGTAATGTTCTTTACCTGGTGATGCAGCCAAAATTCAAGCTGGGATGGGAACTGATTTAGCGTCACTGACACTGGGCTGCCCCTGTGCTTTTGATGTCATCAAAGATGTCAGTTCTCAGCAACAGACCTCACCCACGCAGGAAGCTCAGGAAAAGCAGAAATTGTACTGTCTACACAGAGCAAAAAGTGCTTTCTCCTCTCCTCCCCGTGAGCTTTTGGACTTCTCTGCAGCATCATGCCAGGGGCAGGGCGGGAGGTGTTTTGCACTGACAGCATCCCTTTGGTGAAAGTTCTGTATCCCTCTCAAATCCCATCTTCAGAACCATACCAACAGGGGCTTGTGTGTTACTAACTTTGGGAACCCAGGTGTAAGCACATGACAAGCTGAGTTTTCTTTGGGGCTACAATAACCTTTGGGCTTTTTCTGTTTCATTTGTCACTTTCAGGGATTCCTCCCAGAAAGCAAGTTCAATCGTATCCTAACTGAGCCTGTGCTCCGGGACACCGGGCCCCGTCGAAGAGGGAGGAGGCCAAGAAGTGAACTTATTAAAGCCCCTGGCGTCGTATCGGATTCTTCTTCTGGAATGGGACCGTTATTCATGAATGGACTTATTGCTGGAATGGATCTAGTGGGACTTCAGAACATGAGAAACATGCAAGGCATCCCTTTAACTGGGCTGGTTGGGTTTCCTGCTGGATTTGCAGCAGTGCCTGCTGGTGAGGATGTCAAAAGCACCCTAAGTATGTTGCCTATGATGCTGCCAGGCATGGCTACTGTACCACAGATGTTTGGTGTAGGAGGACTTCTAAACCCACCAATGACAACTACTTGTACTTCAACTGCTCCAGCTTCATTAACAAGCACAACTAAAAGTGGTACATCAAATACGGAAAAAGCTACTGAGGACAAACAAAGTAGCCAGGATGTGAAAAATGAACCTCTGTCTGAAGACAAACCTGGTCCTAGTTCATTTTCTGATCAGACAGAATCTGCAATAACTACCAGTAGTCCTGTTGCTTTTAATCCATTTCTTATCCCAGGAATGTCCCCTGGACTGCTCTATCCATCTATGTTTCTTTCCCCTGGTATTGGCATGACATTGCCAGGCATACAACAAACCAGACACTCTGAGGCAACAAATCTAGAAAGCCAGAAGCGGAAGAGAAAGAAAGCTAAAGGGGAACCAACAAATCCAGAACCAGAAACTGTCTCGCTGTCTGAAAAAGAAGCTGCAAACAGTCAAAACTGTACAGAGCAAACCCAATCTCTGTCATCAGAGAAAGAACATGACATACAAGCAGAAGAGAAGGAGTTAAAAGAAATTAACAATACCAATTAGAATTTTTGTTTCATTAAGAAAAAAGATTGTGGCTTGTAAGTTTCTTATCCCATAAATATTTGTTACTTACCCTCCTGCCCCCTCTTCACCTTCATAAAACCTGTGTTTCCATGAGTAATATTATCTACCTAATTCCCTGTAAGAAAACTATGGTGACATATTATATGTTAATAGTTGCAGGGTCTTGCCACTTTATTAGATAAACAGTGTTGTCTAGTTAGTATGGGAGGCACAGAATTCTTCTTCTGTTATCCAGTTGTTCATCCCAACCAACAATAGTAAATCCAGCACTTGGTCACCCCCAAAATTGCTCATTTATCTGGGGAAAAATTAAAAAGCAAAACCGGAGCAAAAGAAAGTACTTTCATCTCTTGATCTCAATGCAGACAAGGGTATTTCTTTTTACAGTGACACTGAATGAATAAAACTGTATTTTGGGGTAAAAAGCACAGCTATAGTAAGTGCTACTGTGTATTTTTGATTTAAAGTATTTCCCTATTTTATCATGGTTACTAGAATAGTAGTATAGACAGAAGTATATAACTAATGATTGAAAATGCATATATTCATTTCTTTTAAAAAAAGCATAACTGGTAGTGATATAATTTCCTCCCCTTTCACTCCTTGGAGTTTTGGAGACAAACTGCAGTAAGTGAAAAGATTATGTAGACTTTATTTTATATTTTTTTAAAACCAAAGTTTTTTACATTTAGTGGACTTTCAGTTGCCCTTTCCTTGTTAGTTACAAGAACTTTTCCAGCTTGTGCTGAAAAGGTTTTGCACATCCTGCATGTATTTCATTGAGTTTCTTGTACCTAAAGCTACCAGTTACTTCACCGATCTGGTAGTATTCAGTTCTCATCTATGGCATCAGAAGTTCTGTAAAGAGTTGTTTTTCCAACAATGAACAGGCCACTCATATAATGCTCTTATATGAATACTGAGGCTTTTGAGTTTTAAATTTTTTTTACAGTTCTCCACCCCGCCCCATAAATGACATCTTTTCTGAAAACAAAAACAAAATAAACAGAAAGCTGTTGGGCTGGCTTTACAATTGTGAGTCCTTTGAGAAGGACTGTTGAGGTTTTCAAAGCTTGTGTTTATCTTCCTTTTCTAGGGTTAGACTGTGAAGAGATTATTTTTGCTTCTTCTTTCCATTCCTCTTTGTTCTATTTGCTGTTGAACAGTGTTCCCAGCAGTCCCGTTGGCAAATTATTCTACAGTATGCATTTTAAATTCACAAGTTTTTAATGTGATCAGTCCCCCAAACTCTGTGTCTTGAGACACCTCCACAGGTAAACTCCATGTAGTCCTCGCTCCTCACTGCTCCTGTTTAGTTTTTCTTTCACTTGGGCTTGTTCTAATTTGCAGCTCATGGTTTGAGACTTGAAATAAACACTTAGTGGTGCAGCAGTGAAATGACAGACTGTTTGAGGGAGCTGAAGTGTGCTAGTAATCAGTTTTGCATTTGATTGTCACCATTTACTGTATTTTTTACTTATTTTCTGTTACAGTTTTCCTAATTTATCAGATGGTCCAAATGTTTTGACATAACTATTTCAGTTTGCATTATTTATTTATGATGCTTTTTGTCATTGTCTTTTATACATTTGGGATTATAAATTATGTACATGTTACAATTAGCATCTCAAAGAAGTCTGTTACCCATGACCTACAAATTTATATTTTCAAGGAATTTATTCCCACTTTATTGAATTGGATGTGATTTTTTAAAGAAAATTATGTAACTGATCATAATGCAAAAAAATCAGATCATTAAATGTGTTCTATTTAATAACACCCTTGTAGCATAGATACTGTATCATTATCGACAGATTTCTTAGAAATGCTGCTATCTCTATTTAACTAACAGTTTGTTCAGTTTTGCCTCCAGTGGAAGCAGAAAGGGTTTTTTCAGCTGTTAAATCCAAAATCAATATAATTTATTTATGTAAAAAAATTACTTGATTGATATATTTTTGAACCTTTTAAGTACTAACTTTCTTTTTACTCAGTAGAACATGTACTTGCCCTAAATCCTTAAAATACAAATGCTATAAAACTTCATATATCTTCAAAGCCTTACTGTGAATGGGTACAGAAATCTCTGCAGAGTCCATTTCTTATATGGGATGGTTGTTTTTCTAGGGTTGCACTCATAAGGAACAGGGTTCAAAGTGAAATGTATTTAACTAGCCAGCATGTTCTTACTTATCAAACATGTATGTTAAGTTTCTGGGTGTTTAGGCTTCTCTTTGGCTGCTATTGTGTGACCCTTTTTGAAATCCGATAGAGAAACTCTGTGGATTATTTACATTGTAAGGCATAAGCGGCTTCTTATTACTTTCCATCATCATATCCTAGAACAAATACCCAGTTTTCACCACTTTCATGGATCCTCACACAAATATACATTTTCCACCAAATGTGCTAACAAAATAAACTGTCTGTGCTCTTGAACATGGATAAAAACAAAAAGATTTAAAAGTCAAATTTTTATTTTTTTAATTTAGTGACTAGATGATGCTTATCTTTCAAACTTGGCAGAGCCTTGCCACAGATGTATATAATTTTTTCAGCAAATATATGTGAATGTTTGATTCACTTGACTCAGTGCTAAACATTACTTGCTTTTTTCTCAGCATGAACAATATCCACGGCTGTTACATACAGCACATTCTCTTTGTCAGATGGTCCCTCATGTGAACTGAGGAACTTACTGGGGGGGGGATGACTAATTGCTGTTGATTCACAGACTTTTCAAGAAATGAGCTAGTTTACCAACTACGTCCTCAGCTGTGTCAGTGAATGTTTGCTGCCTGCCCTTCAATTTTGCACACATTCACCTGCCATGCTGCTTGAACAACTAGTGCAATGGAGCAGCCCAAGTTACATAGCAGGCTTAAATGCACCCAACTGAATGACAGACAGGCAGTTGGTGATACACAGAGTCTCTACTTTACATTAAGATAATCAGTGGGAGCCAAGAGAACTGTTCATAAAATCCAAAGAGCCAGTAATAAATTCTTTGCACTTGCACTACACCACCTTTCTGCAGAAGAGGAGCCGAGTGTTTAGTTTCTCCTATTGAGCTCTTAAGTGTCTCCATTTAAACTTTGTACCATGTTAGTAGGTGCCAAATAAATGCTTGTAATAATGAATCGAAGGATCTCATTATGCTTTAGAAAGATAGTGGAATTTCCATTTTGCAGCTAGGTAAATAGATGCACCGAAAAACTATGGTGATTTATCAACCGTCACAAACAAGTCTAGCAACAGTATTGGCAACAAGTAGAGGAGTCCTAGTTCCCAGGCCCTGCCCTAACCATTGGACACACTCCATTCTTTGGAATCTTGAAATTTTAAAGCTGTTTTCTGATCATGGTTCCCTGGAATATGAACATACTTTGGGGTCGTGTAAAAGAGCTGCTCTTCAGGACTCAGTTGCAGCCATTGTTTTGAGGTAGGTTTATTTTGGGAAGCACAGGGCCAAAAAGTATCAAAGTGGAAGATGAAAAAGAGCCTACCTCCAAAGAATGGTATGAAGTTTGAACATGGCCTTAAGAAAAAAATCAAGGTACATCACATTTTACATCTGTTCTTGAGAGTCCCTTTACGTTTGGGGTGGCTAAATACAGCAAATGGAATTCAACAGTCCAGCCTGCAGCAGTATTAATCTTTCATAAAGAATTTTTACCACAACAGCTACAGGTATCTAATGCCAGACTCTTACTAGACATAAGATGAAGCTCTGTGTGCTCGAACCTATACTCACCATGGGCTGAACCTTCATATAAAAGCTGAGGACAGGTGCAATCCGCCCTGTTTTATGCAGATTAGGAGTAAGCTAACAGCCAGGTTTGCCTGAGCTAACGCATACAGCTATTGAACAAAGTTTGGGCATTGGCATTAGTGTTGCTTTTTAAAATTTTATTTTACAGTGTGTAAAGAGTGAATTCTCTCCTCACAGCAGCTGGAAATTTACACAAATGACTCTCACAGATGCTAACAGGATTTATACATATAAATTCCCCCATTGCATTGAAGAAGGACATGACAGCTGAATAACAGCAGCGCACAAGTAGGAAAAGCAGTGAATAAGATTTGTGTCCAGCTGGGATGGGGCATCCACCCCACACTGGCCTGTAAGTGGTTAATGGAGCCCTAGGGAGGTGGCACAGAAAGCAGCCAATAGGAGAGGGGCTGTGAGGAGCAGCCAATGAGGGCTGGGCAGGCCTATATAAGAAGGGCTGCAGGGCAGAGGCACTTCAGTAGCTACCTGGAGTTTGAGGAGGTAACATCAGGCTCCTAGCTGGAGGAGGAAGTACTAGCACCCTGAACAGAACAGTACTGCCAGCAGAGATAGGAGAAGCTAGAGAGAGCTCCTGTTTAGCTACTAAGACTGGCAGGCTGAAGCCCTGCGGTAAGGGCAAAGAAGGTGCTGGGGGCCAAGGGGAAGTGGCCTAGGGAAATCAACTGAGGAGTTGGAGGGGATGAAGCAAGTGGTGGCCATCTACAGGGTCCCTGGGCTGGGACTGGAATAGTGGGCAGTTCCCCTCCCTCTCACTCCCCCTTCCCCCCCTTGGCCACTAAGGAAGTGGCTATACAATTGGCTGCAGTTGCCACTGAAGGAAGTGGCTGGACAGTGGACTGTAGTTCCCCCAGAAATGCGGGAGAACAGAGTATGGCACAGCCAGAGGGCCCTGTTATGGGGAGGATGCCATGGTCCTGGGAGTGATGGGGTCCTGGAGCAGAAGTGACAGCAGCAAGACACTATTAGAAGAGGGCGCACTGGCTAGTAGAGCTAATCCCTGGGACAGCCAGCAGGAGGCACTGCACTGGTGAGTTGCACCCCATCACACCAGTTCAAACTGCAGGGGGCAGAGTGTAATTTCCTGAAATGAAATCTGATCAGGTCATCTGGGCTAACACCCTCACTGACAAAAGTTCTGTGAGATCTTCATATGTGTGTTACGTCTCATCTGAAATAAGTCACCTCCTTGTTCCCCAATATTATCATGGGGCATTGGATCTATATCAAATCAGAGAGAAGAGCACTAGTTACAAAATACCACCCCCACTTCCTGCAGCAAACTAGGTATTTTCTAGGCATCTTGCACCCAAATACTGACTCAGCCTTACCTACTTAGCTTGATCTATTGGGGTCACAGTGCAGGATGGTATGACTGAAAAAACTCCCACTGTGAGAAAAGCAAAAGGTTACAAAGCACAAATCTTTGGAACTCAAGGAATAACTAAAACCCTTAGTGAGATTTTTGTTTTTACTTGACTGGGTGTGTCCTATTTATGAACCAGTAAACACATTTCTTACTCCTCCCTGGGCTTCATTTCCCCCACCTCCACTTTTCCCTTCTCTAGACAAGCTCAAATCACTTTACAAACACCCCTAGCAGGGAGGTGCTAGTTACAATTTGCGGGTGGGAAAACCGAAATACAGAAAAGGAAAAAGCCCCAAAATGTTAAATATAGAGGCCTAATGTTAGCCACCTAGAGCTGTCTCTAGGCAGTGTACATTTTTCAAAACGCCAAGTGCAACTTACAAAAATTGTCTTGGGGCAAGCTCCACAAAGGGATGTAGGCAGCACAACATCTTTTATGTGCCCTGCTGCCCAGTGGAATCCTCCAAGCCCTGAGTTAGGTACCCAGTTACCTATACAAGACATGGGGAGAGTTAGGTGCCTAAGAATGGGGTCCACAGGCACCAGTCTGCTGAGTTGCCTAAGCTAGCCAGTAGGAAATGCTGAGGAGAGGAGTTGGTCTTAAGCCCTGCCCCTCAAAGCTTAAGTTATTAACTCCAGGACTGAGAGCGGCAACTCTCTCTGCAAAAAAAATTGGGGAAGGAGGCATGGTGAATAATCAGCTGAATCTGAGCTGGCATGATGCTACGGCCAAAAGGATCCTGGGATCCATAAACGGGAATCACAAGTAGGAGCAGAGAGGTTATTTTACCTCTGTATTTGGCACTGGTGCGACTGCTGCCTGAATATTGTGTCCAGTTCTGGTGCCTACAATTCAAGAAGGATGTTGATAAATTGGAGACAGTTCAGAGAAGTGCCATGAGAATGACTAAAGGATTAGAAAACACGCCTTAGAGTGTTTGACCCTAACAGCATCCCAGTGCCAGAGGGCAAGGGGCTCAATGGTATCTGGTAATGAGTTTCAGCTGGTGTAATCAGTTCACTGTGCCCCAATTCATTAATGTCATAAACTGTATCTGATGTGTCATGTAAAGTATCATTGTAAAACTAACAACACACTGATCATTAATATTCTTGCGGTATGTATGTAGGGTAAACATCCAAGGGATCATGCAGGTATGAAGGAAATGTGGAACTAAAATGTGCTTACCAGACAAGTTTGGGGCATGGGTAAACAGATTTCCCCCAGAAAAAGGGACAGGCTGACACCTCCAGACAAGTGTCATCACAGTTGAGTAGCAATCCCATCACGTGGCCATAGTATTTTAGCAGTGGAAGAAACCAGCTTGGAATTGCCTTCACCAAGAAATGCCATGTCTCCTTGCTCACAGCATGAATGAACTTTATTTTGGGGGTGACCTTCAGAAGAATCCTTTTCAAAGGGCTATAAAAGAGAGAGGCAAAGAATCCAAAGTTATCTTTCACCTATGAAGACAAAGGAACAGAGCACTTTAGACTTTGTGGGAGATCCTGAGAAGAGGGGTGGTAAGCCATCTTGCTGGAAGGTAGTGTGATAAGAATTTTACCTTGAACCAAGACTGAGTTTTGTTAAAGTCTGAGACTCTAGAAAGCATTTTTCACTTTTATTTTCTTGGAACCATTTCTAACTCTACCCTCTGTACCTGAACTCACTTAAAATCCTATCTCCTTTTATTAATCTTGTTTTACTTTTAATCTAAACAACCCAGTGCTGTGCTTGAATTGAAGTGATAGCTAATGCCATTTATGGTGATAAACTGTGCAGGTTGTCTCTTTAGAGGAGCAAACAAACCTTATTCCTCTGAAGGGTCCAGAAAAGATCTGGACATTTCAGAGCACGTGGTTTTGAGAAGATTCAGGCCTGACTGGTATTGAAGTCATTTTGGCTGGTGTAACCATGGCTGGTGGAGGCAGAGTGTGGCTGTGGTGTAACAAGCAGAGCTGCTGGTCCATGGCTGAATATCATACAGACACTCAGTGTATGTTTGTATGCTGGCTGGGAGTGTCCAGGCAAGGGAGCTACAACAGCAGAGCATTGTAAGGCACCCAGGGTTACAGGGCAGGTGATGACACGACACAACCTCTCACTGGTCTGTATTGCACCCCAGAATGTGACTCAAGGAGTTAAGTCTATTTATCTTAATAAAGAGGAGACGGTTGGGGGGGTGTCACTCGATTACAGTGTAGAAGTACCTACATGGGGAACGAATCATAGAAGATTAGGGTTGGAAGAGACTTCAGGAGGTCATCTACTCCAACCCCCTGCTCAAAGCAGGACCAACCTCAACTATTAACATTTAACAACAGGCTCTTCAATCTAGCAGAGAAAGGTCTAATACAATCCAATGGCTAGAAGCTGAAGCTAGTCAAATTCAGACTGGAAAAAAGGCATAACTTTTCAATAATTGAGAGTAATTAACCATTTGAACAATTTACCAAGGGTCGTGGTAGATTCACCATCACTGACAATTTTTTAAATTAAGATGTGATTGTTTTCTGAAATATCTGCTCTAGGAATTCTGGTGTGGAAGTTTGGAGCAATCCTTTCTGGCCTTAGAATCTATGATTGGGATTCACAGTCATGGATCCTGTCCTGGAATTAGGCACGTGCACACACACACACCCCCTCCCTGCCCCCCATCTTATTGTAGCCAATAGCCCAGCAGTTCAGGAGCTTGTGTAGGATGTAGGAGACCTGTTTTCAAATCCTTCTCTAACTGATTTAGAACAGGGACTTGAACTTGGGTCTTTCATATCTGAACCCATTTTATTTATATATGTGTGACAGGTTGCTGGGCAAGAACTGCTGACTTGGCCTTCTGTCAAGCCAGTCCCCATTATGGAAAGCAAATTGGAGCTGGCTAGAGAAAACCTGTGCCTAATGGGTGAATGGGAGACAGCTGCCTGCCCAATTAGCTTGGGGCTATAAAAAGGCTGCAGGGAAGGAAGCTAGAGGGAGGAGAGGAAGCAGAGTGATAGCTCTTCCCTCTTGGGAGCAGACACTAGAAGCAAGCTGTGTATGGTGAAAAGGTGGTGGGAGCACAACCTGTAAATAAAAAGCATTAGTGGTTACTAAACCCAGGATCTCCAAGTGACTGTCAGCACAGCGGGGCCAGGAGTGAAGAGGACCTGCTGTAAACTGCTACACATGGGGGCTTCTCTATAATTTTGCGCCAGAGGAAGACTTTGGCAGCCCAGAGATGGAGGAGACCTTGCAGTGGCTGGTAAAGCAGCAGGAAGAGGTGCAACAAGCAATGCAAACCTTTCAGAAGTCCCACCAGCTGGAGAGGCAGGTCTTGCTTAACTGGCAAGCAGAGCAGAAGAGTTTGCAGGACTTTATATGAGAGCAGGCCAGCACCCAGCAGCAGCTCCTCCAGAAGATGGTGAGTCCCATAGTGGGGGATGGCAATTGGGCACCAGGATTGGGACTCTGTAAAATGGGCCCTGCAGATGATCCCGATGCCTTCCTAGGCACTTTTGAGCAGGTAGCCATGGGAACAGGATGAGAGAAGACAACCTGGGCCCTGCAACTGGCTCCCTACCTGGCCGGCAAAGCCCAAGCAGCGCAGTACTTGCTAGCCATTTTGGCAATGGCATCTCTGTTTCTAGTATTGTGACTTCTAATTTAGAATTTTTAATTCTAACTTATTTTTAGAGCACAAGTTTATTATTGTATCATTCGACTTCCAGTCTGATTTTTTCTTTTTTTTAGCCCTGTCTCAAAACTTTGTTTTCATTCAATCCACCAATGGTGATTGCCTTTTGCAACTGTTATTTTGCCTCTCAATCCAGCCCATAGTGTTTTTGTGCAAGCCATTCTCAAATATTCAGTAAAACCTATTGTAATTTCTTCTTGAACATAAGAACTGCCAGAATGGGTCAGACCAATAGTTCCTTTAGCCCAGTATCCTATCTTCTGCCAGCGGCCAGTGTAGGGTGACTAGATTGCCCCCCCCCCTTTTTTTTTTATAGGGACAGTCCAGAATTTTGGGTCTTTTTCTTTATATAGGCTCCTATTAACCCCCCTCATCCTGATTTTTCATACTTGCTGTCTGGTCACCCTAGGCCAGTACCAGGTGCTTCAGAGGCAATGAACTGAACAGGCAATCACCGAGTGAACCATCCCATGGTCCACTCCCAGCACCTGGCAGTCAGAGGCTAGGGACACCAAGAGCCTGGGGATACAGCCCTGATTATGGCTAATGGACTTATCCTGAAGAGGAACTGATCACTTGGGCAAAAGTATCAATGTCAGGATACTATGCTGTTAGCACATAAATGAAGCTGTGAAATAAATGTTTAAATGACCTCACTCCACGAAGAGGTAAGTGAGGCATCTGTACACACCAGGCAGGGGGCCTTTGGAGGCTGAAGACTTTGTTTCCATCTGTCAAGGTTCCTCCCCCACTCTGAACTCTAGGGTACAGATGTGGGGACCTGTATGAAAAACCTCCTAAGCTTATCTTTACCAGCTTAGGTCAAAACTTCCCCAAGGTACAAAATATTCCCCCCGTTGTCCTTGGACTGGCCGCTACCACCACCAAACTAATACTGGTTACTGGGGAAGAGCTGTTTGGATGCGTCCTTCCCCCCAAAATACTTCCCAAAACCTTGCACCCCACTTCCTGGACAAGGTTTGGTAAAAAGCCTCACCAATTTGCCTAGGTGACTACAGACCCAGACCCTTGGATCTTAAGAACAATGAACAATCCTCCCAACACTTGCACCCCCCCTTTCCTGGGAAATGTTAGATAAAAAGCCTCACCCATTTGCATAGGTGACCACAGACCCAAACCCTTGGATCTGAGAACAATGAAAAAGCATTCAGTTTTTTACAAGAAGACTTTTAATAAAAAATAGAAGTAAACAGAAATAAAGAAATCCCCCTTGTAAAATCAGGATGGTAGATATCTTACAGGGTAATTAGATTCAAAAACATAGAGAACCCCTCTAGGCAAAACCTTAAGTTACAAAAAAGATACACAGACAGAAATAGTTATTCTATTCAGCACAATTCTTTTCTCAGCCATTCAAAGAAATCATAATCTAACACATACCTAGCTAGATTACTTACTAAAAGTTCTAAGACTCCATTCCTGTTCTGTCCCTGGCAAGAGCAGCATACAAACAGACACAGACCCTTTGTTTCTCTCCCTCCTCCCAGCTTTTGAAAGTATCTTGTCTCCTCATTGGTCATTTTGGTCAGGTGCCAGCGAGGTTACCTTTAGCTTCTTAAAAAGAAAAGGAGGACTTGTGGCACCTTAGAGACTAACCAATTTATTTGAGCATGAGCTTTCGTGAGCCACAGCTCACTTCATCAGATGTGTACCGTGGAAACTGCAGCAGACTTTATATACACACAGAGAATATGAAACAATACCTCCTCCCACCCCACTGTCCTGCTGGTAATAGCTTATCTAAAGTGATCAACAGGTGGGCCATTTCCAGCACAAATCCAGGTTCTCACCCTCCACCCCCCCCCACAAATTCACTCTCCTTCTTAACCCTTTACAGGTGAGAGGAGCTTTCCCCTGGCCAGGAGGGATTTCAAAGGGGTTTACCCTTCCCTTTATATTTATGACACCATCCCACACCACTCTCAAGTTTTAGCAAATTAGGACAAGGCAGCCCATAAGAACACCCTTACCTCTCAAAAAGAAGAGGAGGACTTGTGGCACCTGAGAGACTCACACACGTATTTAATTGAGCATAAGCCGATGAAGCGAGCTCTAGCTCACGAAAGCTTATGCTCAAATAAGTGTGTGAGTCTCTCAGGTGCCACAAGTCCTCCTCTTCTTTTTGCGAATACAGACTAAGACGGCTGCGACCCTGAAACCTTACTTCTTATTCACCGACACCGGTTACAAATGGCTAGCCCTGCACGCGGGGGGGGAGAGCAAATTAAGTCAGAGCAGTTCACACTACGCCCAGCACAACAAGACCGCTTCCTCCTCCTCCGCCGCCGTCTCACGCGCCGGCTCCGCTGCTCCATATTCCTCCGCGGCCGGCCCGCTAGCAGCGGGGTCCGGGGAGAGGCAACGGCCGCAGAGCTTAGGGGCCGACCTTCTCCTGCAGGGCCACTCCCGAGGGAAGAGCGGCAGCGGGCCCCGGCTGGGCGGAGGGATACGAGGGCCGGCCGGGTGAAGCGGTTTTGGCGCGCTGAGCGCAGGGGCTTGTGGGTTGGCCCCGGAGCCGCTGGGCCGGCGCGGGGGGCTGTGGAGCCGCCATGTCCCAGAAGGAGCCCCCGGCCGGGGAGGCCCAGGGCTCGGCCCGCGCCGTCATCGACCGCCTCTGCCAGGACCTCAACCTGGACGCGGCCAGCGCCGCCGAGGCTCTGCGGGACTTCACGGCGCTGCGGGGCACGTACAGCCTGGAGGTGAGCGGCAGGGCCGTGGCCGGCTCCGCCCGGAGCCCGACGGGTCAGGGGGCAGGCGCCGGGCCCAGCGGGCGCTGCCCCGGGATCCACCCGCAGGAGGCGCCAGGGTGCCGGTAGACGCCGCTCCGCCCCGGTGCCGAGCAAGCGGGCCGCGTGCCGGCCGGGGCGGCCCTGGGGCCGTGCTGCTGCGGTAGCTCCTGGGTTGCCCGCGGCCTTGCAGGGCCCAGGCTTCCCCCCTGGGCGGCCGCTGGCTCTGGGGCGGAGGCGTGAGCGAGCGCTCGTGCTGGCAGACTCGGCTCCGTGGGAGCCCCGGTCCGCGCTGGGCTAGGCGAGCGCCGCGGCGGGGAGCGGCCGGCCCGGAGGGGCTGCAGGCTGTAGACAGACGTGGGGCGCCCGCAGAAGGTCTGGCGCAGACACCAGCTCAGGTGTGTGCGTGTGTTCCCAAGGCTCCTGTCTGGCTGCGCGGATCGGACTCCAGCCCCAGGGTCTGACTGCCTTGGCTGGTACTCTGCTTGGCAGGAGATCAGTGCTCTGCCAATGGGGGTTGGCCAAACACGTTTCAGGTAAAGGGTGTCTTATTAGAGAAAATGCATAAGGGCCTGTCTACACATGAAGGCGCTGTATCCCTTGCAGAGTGCCATGTATGCCCCCACCCGGTGGAGATGCAGTGTACACCGAGAGGAGGACTTCTGGTGCCAGATCACCACCTCCCCAAACAATATTAGCTATGCCCTCGGAAGCCCTCTTCTGGCTTCACAACTGTGTCCACCCTGGAGGTTTAGTCAGCATAGCTCGGTGGTGGTGTCATTTAATCACACTCTTGGAGGATATTGTTATGCTAATATAAGCATTAAAACTATGCCAAACTATTCAGGGCTGGAGTCTACGTGTGACACTTTTATTCTGGAGTAAGAGTGCCTTGTTCTGGAACAAGAGTGTCCACAGTCAAAGTTATTCAAGAGTAAGTGGGTATATGTATCTTGCTTTCAAAGGATGCTAGAATGATCTTGACCTTAAAGGTCAGAGCGGTGGTATCCAAATTTTTCAGCCTAAAAGCTGAACATACTTTTTCAAAGAAATCGGGAGTCAGTGTTTTGGGGCAGAGTTTTGCCCAGTCCTTCACCCTTTTCACCACTTATTTGCAGGGAGAACAGAAACCACATGCAAATATAGCTTACTACAGCCCCTGGTGCAGAGGGTAAGAAGTAGGAATGGCTAGAGCATGCTGTGTACCAGCTAGATTGGGGTGGGCAAACTTTTTGGCCCGAGGGCCACATTGGGGTTGCAAAACTGTATGGAAGGCCAGGCAGGGAAGGCTGTGCCTCCCCAATCAGCCTGGCCCCCCGCCGCCTATTCGCCCCCTGACTGCCCCCCTCAGAACTCCCAACCCATCCAACCGACCCATCTCTTTGTCCCCTGACCGCCCCCTCCCGGGATCCCCTGGGACTCCCACGCCTATCCAACCCCACCCCCCCGGTTCCCTGACTGCCCCCTGGGATCCTCTGCCCCTTATCCAACTCCCCACCCCTTTACCATGCCGCTCAGAGTGGCAGGACTGGCTTATTGGAAAGCCTGGGAGGTGGGTGGGCACAAGCCACGCTGCCCGCGCAGCAGCATGGCTGCAGGGGTGGGGCGCACAGGAGACAGAAGAGGAGGGGCCGGGGGGCTAGCCTCACCAGTCAGGAGCTCAAGGGCAGGGCAGGATGGTCCCGTGGGCCGGATGTGGCCTGCAGGCCATTGTTTGCCCACCTCTGAGCTAGATCCATCTGGCATATGATCCCTAGTTCCCTTGCACAAGTTAGAGCAGCCCCCAAATTTGATTGATAGTTGGATGGAGCAGGAGGTACTTTGTCCATGCCTACACTACAAACTTACATTGACTCAAGTTACGTTGGCATACGGCCGTCACTGTTAGTACATTGCTTGTGTGTGTGCATACTTAGCTGCTTATGCTGGTGGTGCTCATACTCACCAAGAATGCTTGTATCAATGCAGAATGCAGTGCACCATGAGTAGGTATCCCACTGTGCAACTTACCCCTGTCTAGCGCACTGTCTTGGGAAGTTTTGGCAATGCATAATCGGGCCGAAACGAGTCATGCAGGGGTGACTGGGAGCATGGGGTCTACTTCCCAGTTTGCAGCTGTCTCCATCTCATAATGTTATCTGTATCCCATAATTTTTGTGCCTTTATTTCAAAACTCCACAAACCCACGTGGCCCTCCTTGCTGTCCGTCATCTCTGACAAAAGCGTGGAGACTGCATAGCTTTGCACTATTGTCATAAACATTGAAAGCACAGGGTGTGCAATCCTGGAGTATTTGCACAGGTGCTTGAAAAAACAAATCAGTGGGGAACATGACGATTTCTTGGACACATTGCTGTGCTACATCATGAGAACCAATTCAAGGTTGTTGGTGGCATTCACAGAAATAGCTGCAGATGTTGGAGTGCTGCTTCTGGGTTCGAGAAACAAGCTCTGACTGGTGGGATCTCATTCTAATGTAGGTTTGGAATGAAGAGCAGTGGCTGCAGATCTTTCATCTAGGGATGTAAAAGGTTAACCAGTAAGCATTAACCCTGGCGGCCCCACATCGGGCCGGTGGGGTGGACCCTGGCTGCCCTGGACCCTGACCGGATTGGCGCCCCAGCTACCTCGGTTAACTGGTTACACGAAATTTTAATCGTTGAACTGGTTTACTTTTTTTAACCAATATTTACATCCCTACTTTTGGTGCAAGTCCACATTCCTGGATTCATGTGCCAAGCTCACACCTGCCCTCCAGCACAAGGACACCAAAATGAGAGCTTTACTGATAGTGAAGAAGTTAGTGGGAATCACAGTGTGGAGACTTGCAACCCCAGATTGCTACTGGGCAGTTGGGAATCAATTCGGAGTTGGGAAATATACAACGGAGGCCGTTGTGGTGTGGGACTGTGTGGGGCCATTAATTGCCTCCTGCTCTGGCAGTGTGCAGGACATAGTGGGTGGTTCCAAAACTACGGTGGAGCAATGGACAACACGCGCATCCCTATTTTGGCACCAGACCACCTTGCTACTGAGTACATCAACAGAAAGGGCTACATTTCTGTGGTTATGCAAACATTGGTGGATCACCAGGGACACTTCACTGACATCAATGTGGGCTGTTCAGGAAATGTGCATGACGCTTGCATCTTTAAGAACAGAGGACTGTTCATAGAGCTACGAGCAGGGACTTTCTTTCCCAACCGGCGGATTACTATTGGGATGTTGAAATGCCAACAGTGATGCTGGGGGACCCAGCCTATCCCTTTTTTCCCTGGCCATACACCAACCACCTCGACTGCACCAAGGAACAATTTAACTACTGGCTCAGCCAGTGTGGAATGACAGTTGAATGTGCTTTTTGTTATGAAGGGTCGCTGGCATTGTTAACTCACAAGATTGGACCTCAGTGAGAAAAATATCCCAATGGTGTTAGCTGTCTGCTTTGGCCTGCATAATGTATGTATGGCAAAGGGGGGAAAGTTTCTGCTGAGGTGGCATGGCTGTCTGATGAATTTGAACATCCAAATACAAGGGCTCAAGGCAGAGCGAAATGGCTCAGGAAGGCTTTGAATGACCATTTTAATAGTGAGTAATGTATGGTGGTGTAGTGTGCTCTATCTGACCCTGCTCTTTTGCGGCCTGGTAGGAATCGTTTGATTGCTGTACATGTAGGAATATAACATTAATTCACCTATTTGTTTTGTGAATGGTCATGTGGATTGTGTGACATGAAGTAACAGATAAAGGGCAGTATATGTTGTGAACTAATAAAGATGAATTATGTTACAGAATAAAATTCTATTGGAACAAAATCAGTGCAACAAAATTGTAATTTCACAACAAATACATTAAAAACATAATAAATGTAGTTATGAAGGGTGAAAGAATTTTCATGTCCATTTCAGCTACACAGATACCAACTATGGCTTACACAGACCTGTGTATGTGAAGCTGTGATTGTCTTTATCACTCTACTCTGATGGACATTAAGGGTACTGCAAGGACTCCTTAAACCATTTGGAATGTTGGGGGTGTGGTGGTTATGAGAGGTCTCAATGGGCTGCAGAGGGAGCAAGCCTGGGCCTGTTGAATCTGAAAGTCCACCAGAGTCTGCTGCATCTGTGTTTGCTGCCTGAGAAGCTCCACTGTGCCCTGTTGATCTTCCTCTCCTTTTCCTGCTGGGACTCCTGGGCCTTTCTCCTCTCCATTCTTTCCTTTTCCAGGCTGTCTGCATTGTTCATCCTCCAGGCCCTGTGCTTATGGTCCAATGCAGCGCTGGCTTGCAGGATGTCCTGGAACATGTTATTCTGAGTCCTCTTCTTTCTCCACCTTATGTGGCTCTGCAAATGTGGAGGGGGAAACTCCAAAGGCCACAGTGGCAACAGCTGAAGATAAATCACACAGCGGTACTATTGTTGGTACATTTACTACAGAAAGTGAAACTTAAGATGTTAAACTTGCTCCCCAAAAGTTTTAAGCACTACATTCTCACTTCTGCTTGGGATTGCTTGTGCATGGCACCAATCACTGTCTCCTCCCCCCCCCCCCCCCCAGTAGGCCATACTCATCGTGGCAGGTGAAGGAAAATGAGAAGGGAATTACTTGGTTGCATGATTCTAATAATATATAGGATAATGACCATGAATACTGGTACCCTTTTCCACAGTTGATAGTGATTTTAGCTGATATCTCACTCTTGAAGGTATCAAAGGCTCTCATGCAGCTGCTACTGGCATCCCAAAGCCACCTGGGCCCATGTGCTGCTAGCCTGAGTACTGTAATGGGGCCTGCTGAAGCTATCACTGAGTGGCAGGGAAAGTGTCCTACTTTGGAGGAAGAAACAAGGCAGCCTTCCCTAGAAACCATCAGAGGATTGCAGAGTACTTCCATTAAAGCTTCATCGAGATCTCTCAGGAGGATTCAAGGGACATCCCTGTGTACATAAACAAACTGCTATGCTTGGTCACCCTCCCTAGCTCTAGAGATGAAAATCAGATAGCAGCTCTACCTCTTGATGGTACCACTACCTCTTCTAGCATGAGTAAATTAATGAAAAGTGAAAAGATTGTGTCCTACTACTTTGGGGGAACAACTTTGTAATTGAAAATTTATGTACACTCTTAGCCAAGGTTCCGTCCCCTGTTTCAGAGTAGCAGCCGTGTTAGTCTGTATTCGCAAAAAGAAAAGGAGTACTTGTGGCACCTTAGAGACTAACCAATTTATTTGAGCATGAGCTTTCGTGAGCTACAGCTCACTTCATCGGATGCATACCGTGGAAACTGCAGAAGACATTATATACACACAGAGACCATGAAACAATACCTCCTCCCACCCCACTGTCCTGCTGGTAATAGCTTATCTAAAGTGATCATCAAGTTGGGCCATTTCCAGCACAAATCCAGGTTTTCTCACCCTCCGCCCCCACCCCCCCCCACACAAACTCACTCTCCTGCTGGTAATAGCTTATCCAAAGTGACCACTCTCCCTACAATGTGCATGATAATCAAGGTGGGCCATTTCCAGCACAAATCCAGGTTTTCTCACCCTCCCCCCCCACCCCCATACACACACAAACTCACTCTCCTGCTGGTAGTAGCTCATCCAAAGTGACCACTCTCCCTACAATGTGCATGGTAGTCAAGGTGGGCCATTTCCAGCACAAATCCAGGTTTTCTCACCCCCCACCCCCATACACACACAAACTCACTCTCCTGCTGGTAGTAGCTCATCCAAAGTGACCACTCTCCCTACAATGTGCATGGTAGTCAAGGTGGGCCATTTCCAGCACAAATCCAGGTTTTCTCACCCCCCACCCCCATACACACACAAACTCACTCTCCTGCTGGTAATAGCTTATCCAAAGTGACCACTCTCCCTACAATGTGCATGATAATCAAGGTGGGCCATTTCCAGCACAAATCCAGGTTTTCTCACCCCCCCACCCCCATACACACACAAACTCACTCTCCTGCTGGTAGTAGCTCATCCAAAGTGACCACTCTCCCTACAATGTGCATGGTAGTCAAGGTGGGCCATTTTTTCCAGCACAAATCCAGCACAAATCCAGTTTGACCAATGTACATGGCAGAGGGGCATTGCTGGCACATGATGGCATATATCACATTGGTGGATGTGCAGCCCCTCTGCCATGTACATTGGTCAAACTGGACAGTCTCTACGTAAAAGAATAAATGGACACAAATCAGATGTCAAGAATTATAACATTCATAAACCAGTCGGAGAACACTTCAATCTCTCTGGTCACGCAATCACAGACATGAAGGTCGCTATCTTAAAACAAAAAAACTTCAAATCCAGACTCCAGCGAGAAACTGCTGAATTGGAATTCATTTGCAAATTGGATACTATTAATTTAGGCTTAAATAGAGACTGGGAGTGGCTAAGTCATTATGCAAGGTAGCCTATTTCCCCTTGTTTTTCTCCCCCCCCCCCCAGATGTTCTGGTTTAACTTGGATTTAAACTTGGAGAGTGGTCAGTTTAGATGAGCTATTACCAGCAGGAGAGTGAGTTTGTGTGTGTATGGGGGTGGGGGGGATGTGAGAAAACCTGGATCTATGCAGGAAATAGCCTGACTTGATTATGTAAAGAGTTGTCACTTTGGATGGGCTATCACCAGCAGGAGAGTGAATTTGTGTGGGGGGGTGGAGGGTGAGAAAACCTGGATTTGTGCTGGAAATGGCCCACCTGTTGATCACTTTAGATAAGCTATTACCAGCAGGACAGTGGGGTGGGAGGAGGTATTGTTTCATATTCTCTGTGTGTATATAAAGTCTGCTGCAGTTTCCACGGTATACATCTGATGAAGTGAGCTGTAGCTCACGAAAGCTCATGCTCAAATAAATTGGTTAGTCTCTAAGGTGCCACAAGTACTCCTTTTCTTTTTGCGAGCCTCTGATAGTGTGGCTGATGTTATTAGGCCCTTTGATGGTGTCCCCTGAATAGATATGTGGGCACAGTTGGCAACGGGCTTTGTTGCAAGGATAGGTTCCTGGGTTAGTGGTTCTGTTGTGTGGTATGTGGTTGTTGGTGAGTATTTGCTTCAGGTTGCAGGGCTGTCTGTAGGCAAGGACTGGCCTGTCTCCCAAGATTTGTGAGAGTGTTGGGTCATCCTTCAGGATAGGTTGTAGATCCTTAATAATGCGTTGGAGGGGTTTTAGTTGGGGGCTGAAGGTGACGGCTAGTGGCATTCTGTTATTTTCTTTGTTAGGCCTGTCCTGTAGTAGGTGACTTCTGGGAACTCTTCTGGCTCTATCAATCTGTTTCTTCACTTCTGCAGGTGGATATTGTAGTTGTAAGAAAGCTTGACAGAGATCTTGTAGGTGTTTGTCTCTGTCTGAGGGGTTGGAGCAAATGCGGTTGTATCGCAGAGCTTGGCTGTAGACGATGGATCGTGTGGTGTGGTCAGGGTGAAAGCTGGAGGCATGTAGGTAGGAATAGCGGTCAGTAGGTTTCCGGTATGGGGTGGTGTTTATGTGACCATTGTTTATTAGCACTGTAGTGTCCAGGAAGTGGATCTCTTGTGTGGACTGGACCAGGCTGAGGTTGATGGTGGGATGGAAATTGTTGAAATCATGGTGGAATTCCTCAAGGGCTTCTTTTCCATGGGTCCAGATGATGAAGATGTCATCAATATAGCGCAAGTAGAGTAGGGGCTTTAGGGGACGAGAGCTGAGGAAGCGTTGTTCTAAATCAGCCATAAAAATGTTGGCATACAGTGGGGCCATGCGGGTACCCATAGAAGTGCCGCTGATCTGAAGGTATACATTGTCCCCAAATGTAAAATAGTTATGGGTAAGGACAAAGTCACAAAGTTCAGCCACCAGGTTGGCCGTGACATTATCGGGGATAATGTTCTTGACGGCTTGTAGTCCATCTTTGTGTGGAATGTTGGTGTAGAGGGCTTCTACATCCATAGTGGCCAGGATGGTGTTATCAGGAAGATCACCGATGGATTGAAGTTTCCTCAGGAAGTCAGTGGTGTCTCGAAGGTAGCTGGGAGTGCTGGTAGCGTAGGGCCTGAGGAGGGAGTCTACCTAGCCAGACAATCCTGCTGTCAGGGTTCCAATGCCTGAGATGATAGGGCGCCCAGGATTTTCAGGTTTATGGATCTTGGGTAGTAGATAGAATATCCCAGGTCGGGGTTCCAGGGGTGTGTCTGTGCGGATTTGATCTTGTGCTTTTTCAGGAAGTTTCTTGAGCAAATGGTGTAGTTTCTTTTGGTAACTCTCAGTGGGATCATAGGGTAATGGCTTGTAGAAAGTGGTGCTGGAGAGCTGCCGAGCAGCCTCTTGTTCATATTCCGACCTATTCATGATGACAACAGCACCTCCTTTGTCAGCCTTTTTGATTATGATGTCAGAGTTGTTTCTGAGGCTGTGGATGGCATTGTGTTCTGCACGGCTGAGGTTATGGGGCAAGTGACGCTGCTTTTCCACAATTTCAGCCCGTGCACGTCGGCAGAAGCACTCTGTAGAAGTCCAGTCTGCTGTTTCGACCTTCAGGAGGAGTCCACCTAGAATCCTTCTTTTTGTAGTGTTGGTAGGGAGGCCTCTGTGGATTAGTATGTTGTTCAGAGGTATTTTGGAAATATTCCTTGAGTCGGAGACGTCAAAAATAGGATTCTAGGTCACCACAGAACTGTATCATGTTCGTGGGGGTGGAGGGGCAGAAGGAGAGGCCCCGAGATAGGACAGCTGCTTCTGCTGGTCTGAGAGTATAGTTGGATAGGTTAACAATATTGCTGGGTGGGTTGAGGGAACCATTGCTGTGGCCCCTTGTAGCATGTAGTAGTTTAGAAAGTTTAGTGTCCTTTTTCTTTTGTAGAGAAGCAAAGTGTGTGTTGTAAATGTAAACTACAAAAAGAAGGATTCTTTTTGAGTCCCCCTGGGGCTCGGGGTGGTTGCCCCGGCTCTGCTTGGACCTGTTCTGGGCACCACCAAAAATTATACAAACCGGCACCCATGGGCTTTAACAATAGTTTGGAGAGGGCATTCTAACTATAAGGAAACATGGAAGAACTTCCATGTGAAGGTGCCAGTAGGGGGATAAAATAGACAGGGCTGGCTTCACTGATGTTGCAGAAATGATAATGGGTTTCCAGCTGATCAGTAGCCAGATTGTGGCCTCGTGGCGTACTACAGTATATTATCTTTAACACAGAGGTGCAGTCAGCAGAGACCTCAGGGCTCTGCAATATGCAGTGGTTTATTGTGATCTAAGTGGCCAAATCATATTGCAGGCCTTGTAGTGTCTGTCTGTCTTTAAAGGAACAATCAGCTGCTGTCTACTCTGTTCCATGCAAATTAAGGATAGTCTTCCACTCCTAGGAAGTTATGGTGTGGTTCTATTTGGGCAGTTTTGGTTCCCTTGTTCCGGCCAGATTTAAAAAGAAAAAATCATCCAACCCTGAGTAAATGTTGGTTCTTGTTCCTGTCCCAAAGGATTTTAGAGATACTTGAAGTAGATGAAAAGCTGAGACTGCAAATTGAGCATTGTTGCCCTGGAAAAGTTTGTCCATTGATTGTTTACTTCTGGTTTGACAGGGAGAAGTGGTGCATTGGTTGGCTTGTGCTCTATATGTTGCTTGTCGTAAAAGCATACTTCCCACTGTTGGAAGTGGTCTTATGGAAGGAAACTGCGTTTCACTGACTAGGATACTACGGTCAGCCAAACTAAGGTACTTTTGTGTTTTTGGTTTTTGCTTTTTTCTGGAGACCTAAACGTCTGTGTGTAGTCACAGCTTCTTTTTTCCCTTATTCTAGATCTGCTCCCCTTTTGACTGCTGTTTTACTTACATTCTAACCGAAAGCAGAATGGCACTTTCCTCATAGCGGTGGAAGTAGGGTATCATTGATATTGCACAAATATAAAATCCAGCACATTATCCAGTTTTCACAGATATTAAGGCCAGAGGGGACTGTTAAGATCCTCTAGTCTTATTTCCTCCATAACATAGGCCAGAGTAGGGATGTTAACCAGTTAACTGGTAAGCATTAGTGTTACCGGTTAACCGGTAAGTGTTAACCCCCCAGTCCGGCCCCGCTCTGGCTGGGCCTTAGCCAGCCCTTTAATTCGTTAACCGTTTAAATTAAATATTTTAAAACGGTTAACTTTTAAAACTCAGATGAATGCTTGGGTGCTTAGAGATATATAATTAAATAAGTATTTATGCACTTCAGTGTTAGTTCAACACGTAATTCTTCAATACAGGTGTCTTGGTTAAGCACCCAGTTGTGAAAATTACATTTTCCCTGCCCCTCAACTTTTCTGTTTTTTCTGACCCCACCAAAGAGAGCCACGTTCTCTGATCTAAATGAATCCATGTAAGGGTGTGGACACCAAAGGAAATCCCCAAGTAAGAGTCAACTGTGTGGAACATACTCAGCACTAGAGTCTAGCAAAGTGTGTTTATCCTTTTCTGTAATTAAAGCAGTTACTAAGCAATAAATTAGTCAGATTTGGTTTTCACCAAAAGTCCATCTTTTTAAGAAAAGGATTAAAAATTGGGGGGGGAAATCTTAGTCTAAACTATTTAATCTGTTTCATGGCTGGAGATTAAATTATAATTAAATGTTGCTCTTTTAAGTTTAATTCAGTTTTTTAGTAAAATGAAAAAGTGGATGGACATGTCAGACCTGCCACAGGAATTTCGGGAACGAATGGAGCGGCTGGAGAGAAACTTTGAAGTATCGACTGTGATTTTCAGAAAGTTTGAACCAATATTTTTGGATGTATTTCAAAATCCTTATGAAGATACACCTAAACCACAAAGGAGCAGGAAACAGAGGTATATTGAGAGATTTAAATGATTTTACTGAAAACCAGGGCTGTCGATTAATTGCAGTTAACTCGCACAATTAACTCAAAAAAATTGACTGCAATTAAAAAAAATAATCGCAATTAATTGCACTGTTAAAATTTCAATCAGTATTCTATTGTTTATTAAATATTTTGGATGGTTTTTCTACATTTTAAAATATTTTGATTTCTATTACAACACAGAATACAAAGTGTACAGTGCTCACTTTATATTATTTATTACAAATATTTGCACTTTAAAAATGATTTTAAAAAAGCATTTTTCAATTCACCTCATACAAGTACTGTAGTGCAATCTCTATCATAAAAGTATAACTTACAAATGTAGATTTTTATTTTGTTTTGTTACATAACTGCACTCAAAAACAAAACTATGTAAAACTTTAGAGCCTACAAATTCACTCAGTCCTACTTCTTGTTCAGCCATTTGCAAAGACAAACAAGTTTGTTTACATTTACGGGAGATACTGTTGCCTGCTTCTTATTTACAGTATTCACCTGAAAGTGAGAACAGGCATTCGCATGGCACTTTTAGTAGTCGGCATTGCAAGATATTTACATGCCAGATATGCTAAACATTTGTATGCCCCTTCATGCTTCATCTACCATTCCGGAGGACATGCTTCCATGCTGATGATGTTTGTTTAAAAAAAAATAGTGCGTTAATTAAATTTGTGACTGAACTCCTTGCGGGAGAGCTCAGATGATGACTCAGCACATGTTGTTTAATTTACAAACACTGTCACTGCAGATTTGAAAAAATGCAAAGAAGGTACCAATGTGAGATTTCTAAAGATAGCTACAGTACTCGACTGAAGGTTTAAGAATCTGAAGTGCTGTCCAAAATCTGACAGGAACGAGATGTGGAGCATGCTTTTAGAAGTCTTAAAAGAGCAACACGTGGATGCGGAAACTACAGAACCCAAACCACCAAAAAAGAAAATCAACCTTCTGCTGGTGGCATCTGACTCAGATGATGAAAATTAACATACATCAGTCCGCTCTGCTTTGGATTGTTTTCAAGCAGAACCTGTCATCAGTATGCATGCATATCCTCTGGAATAGTGGTTAGCACATCTGGCACGTAAATATCTTGCAACGCCGGTGTGATGTTATTGACAAGAACTGTGACTGTATAGATCATTGTTGCAAGCACTGTTATATATTTGCAGCAAATATTGTGCAGAGGAGGTCAAGGGGGTGTCTATGGAAAGGTTGTAGTTTGCTGGTTATGATTATGCTGTCTGTATGTGTGTATCATTTTTATATTTGAAGTTATGAATATTGGCTATGTACTTGTATCTCAATGTGTTTGATTCTAAGTAGCCCCAGTAAAGCATTTGGTCAGCTTCTTGGGAAAGGACTATTCTCAGTAAGTTCCCAATCACGAAACACTTAACTGACCATGGACTTTGGGAGACACCAATCCACATCTGAGCTTTCCTGGGAGCGTTCAAACTAACATGTAAACAATGGCATCGGCCTGCAAAAACCTGAATCATTCATGGACATGTGATGTGCCCAGGTGACTACAAACTCCATCTTGTTGCTGTGATTTTGCACAGGAGAAAAAAGGGGTTTCCTTCCACATGGCTGAGGATATAAAAGGCCCTGGAAACCCCTCCATTTTGTCTTCATTCCTGCTTCTTAATTCTGAAGGAACTTCACTTGAAACTGAAGCTCCAAACAAAGGACTGACAGACCCATCCAAGCTGGGATGTTTGTATTCCAGAGACTTGATCAGTTTAATTGAGCAGTAATCCCATCAAGCCTGAACTAAGAACTTTGCAATTGTTGTATGTATTTGATTCCATTTAACCAATTCTAACTCTCATCTATATTTCTTTTTATGGATAAACCTTTAGATTTTAGATTCTAAAGGATTGGCAACAGCATGATTTGTGGGTAAGATCTGACTTGGGTCTGGGACTTGGTCCTTTGGGATCGGGAGAACCTTTTTTCTTTTACTGGGGTATTGGTTTTCATAACCATTCATCCCCATAAGAAGCGGTGCTGGTGGTGATACAAGGGAACTGGAGTATCTAAGGGAAATTGCTTGTATGACTTCTGGTTAGCCAGTGGGGTAAAACCAAGGTCTTCTGTGTTTGGTTGGTTTGGTGTGCCTTAATAGTAAAGGAAACCCAGGCTTTGTCTGTAACTGCCCTGCTCTAAGCAATCCTGAATTGATATTCTCAGTTGTGTCCTGCCAGAGGCAGTGTTGTTACGGTTCCAACAGTGCAATGCGAACGCCTGTTCTCACTCTCAGGTGACATTGTAAACAAGAAGCGAACAGCATTATCTCCTGCAAATGTAACTAAACTTGCTTGTCTGAGCGATTGGACTGAGTGGACTTTTAGGCTCTAAAGTTTTATATTGTTTTATTTTTGAATGCAGTTATTTTTGTACGTAATTTGACATTTGTAAGTTCAACTTTCATGATAAAGAGATTGCACTACAGTACTTATTATATTAAGTGAATTGAAAATACTATTTCTTTTGTTTTTTACAGTGCAAATGTATATAATCAAAAATAAATATAAAGTGGGCACTGTACACTTTGTGTTCTGTGTTGTAATTAAAATAAATATATTTGAAAATGTAGTAAACATCCAAAAACATTTAAATAAATGGTATTCTATTGTTTAACAGTGTGATTAATTGCTATAAATTTTTTTTAATCGCTTGACAGCCCTACTGAAAACTTCTGTTTAAGCAATGGTAAGGCCATGATTTATACTTTGAAAATCAGGAAAAGGTGTTAACTTGATAGATGTCACTTTTGGGTTCAGTTCTGCAGTGAGATGCACTTAGTTGCATGTATGCCCCTGTGGAGTTGCATTGATGTCAGTGGGGCTCTGCATAAGTGCCTGGTCATCCTGCATGCAATTGGTTGCAAGATATCAGGACTTTGGCTAGCACTAGTGCCCCTGTTTGGGTGAGCATTAAGCACCTGCTGTGATGCTGAAGATACTGTTCTTCAAATGAAACCTCAAGCTAAAGTTCTGATTACTTGTGTTCAACAAAAATCCTATAGCACTTCTTTCAAGAGTAGGGGTATTGGCCTCAGTGTCCTGTTCAGATACTAGCTCTTGTAATTAGTTTTCCTGAAATGATTCCTTTAGGTTCAGAAGGCTACAATATTGTTTTACTTTTCTGAATGGGTGCGTAATGTTATGCATTGTCAAGTATCCTACATAGTTCTTTTTTTAATTGGGTTTGTGTGCTTCTTTCTGATATCCAAAAAAATATTCATTTAAAAAAAAAGTTTTCTGATTGTCTTACATGAGAAATATGAGAGATCAAGTCTGTGGGGGTTTTTTTGTTTGTTTCTGGTGGGGTTTTTTTGTTTGATGTTTTTTGAGAGAGAGAGAGAGATTTGGGAGTCCTCATATATCCAGGGTGGATAAAAATCAATGATTTAAAAAAAAATTAAATTTAAATAGGATTTTTTGATAAGTTTTAATTAATATACACTATAGCTCAAAGGTATCATATCATGGAATAGGGATGAGAAATTCTAATTCTATAGAAAGAGACAATATATTCATGTAATTTTTAAGAAAAGTTTTGTAAATGAGTTCCAATAGTTCATGGATTAGGGACCCAATTTTATGGGGTTTCAGGGGCTTCTGTATAAATTATTTAGGTTAACCTTTCTATCTACCCAATGGGACTCAGTGCTCAGTCTAGAAGATACCATCAGAGATGTTTAGTTTTGCAGTTCTCAAACTGTGGATTTGTGTCTCCAGAAGTAACGTACTTGTTAACAGCAAAAATGTTTTTAAATAATATATAGAGGTGAGAAATAACAGACCTCAACTCTATTGTCCCTCTGCAAATTGGTGTACACAGAGTCAATCCCTTACCTCTCTCTAAAAGTGCAAATTTTCAAAAGGTTTAATGAATAGAAGATGGTTGGGGGCGGAATAGATCTGGACAAGGAGAAGAAGTTTGGAGATAAATGTGAGAAGTGAGGGACATATGCTCTTTTGTTAAAATATTATGTGTTTGCTGTTGAAGAAAAAAATCCAGAATACATGATGTTGTTTTAGTTAAATAAAACAACTTAAATGTCTGTCTGGTGGTGATCTCCTCCTAATTTAGCATAGCAAGAAAATCATCCAAATATTAATGATTAACCTGTTGAACTGGAGATTGTACACCTCCCAATGACTTCATAAATATCTGCTTCAGTTACCTTTAGTAACGAAATAACCAAACAATCATTCATTTTCAGATATAGCTGTAAAACTAATATGAAAAGTTTTAAAAATGTATAGTGTGTACCTTCTAAAAATGAAACCTACATCTATCTCTGAGTTGTGAAGAATACGTATTAGGCTTATAACAGCCAACAAGAATGCACGTTTATGTAGAAAACCATGATTAAATAGAGTCTTCCTGAGTAGTGATTTAAATCAAATCCACCCTGCATGTATCTGTTGGAAAGCTTCTGTTATCTTAATTAAAGGGGGAATTGAATATTCTGTGGGGAATTCTGCTCTAAAAAATTAAAAATTATGCGCACTATATTTTAAAATTCTGCAAAATTCTGTATATTTTATTTGTCAAAATAACCCAATATAATCACACCAGTTTCAATTATTTTTGGTCATTTATTTCAAAGTACCTGTCAGCAAGTATGTCTGTAACAATACAGACAACAAAAAAGATTCAGGAAATGTTTTTTGACAAATAGATTCCTTACTAGGTATATTAATACAGAATTCGGAGTAATTCATTTTTAATACAGAATGCTGAGTAGTAATTCATTTAAAGTACACTACAGAACCATGTTTCCCACACCCCTCAGAGGTAGTGCAAAGACTGGGGGAGTTAGGGGTAGCTGAGGGAGAGGGAAGTAATTGCTGGGAAGGAGCCTGGACGTGAACTTGGAGGGTTGGGGAAAAGTATGGAACAGGTTTTTTTGGGGTGATGGGAAGGGATTGTTAGGGAGTTTCCACCATG